TCTAGATTATGGCCTTCGGCCTATTCTACAATATTATCTCCCCGGTTCCGGCTACGGGCGCCGGGTTCCCAGTAAGGATAGTAAGTATTAAAGTCCCTAGCTATAAGGGCTCTTACTAGCGGTTGATAGCCCAAAAAGGCACTTGTTATATAGTTTTTAGGCCCGCCCAGCGGCCTATAGATGTTTACAATAGTAAAGTTACTAACCTTTACCTATAGGATATCTCTTGATTAGGTAGGTCTTTATTGCTATATTTGTAGCCTTAGACCCTTACGTATATAGGTTATAACCCTAGGTCTTATATCTCTGTTATTCTAGAAATTAACTAGTATATAAGAGTTATAGCCTGGGTATGTATTAATTTGTATCTTATCTCTATAGCCTATCCAGGGCTCCTAGATCAGTACTATATCGATCTGATCCGCCCAGCAGAGCTCTAGGAGAGCTGTATAAGCTGGGCTTCTCTTCCCTATGTTACACTAGGCGACTTGTAGTACCCGTGGAGAGGCTGGCCTGAGCCTACTGCTCTGAGTCGAGGTCGAGGTGGGTGTAGGCATTAATAACGTTGTAATCAGGCTTCTGCGTCACCCGCTGAGCCCTGCTGCTTGAGGTAGCTAGGGTAGGTTGGCTAGGTAGGGGGGGTAGGACTGGGTCGTCACTCGTCAGGGGCTTGCAGCCCTTCTGCTTCAGCCCTATTCTCATCTTCATCCATGCTGCTATAGCTAGCCGCATTACTAACGTCCGCTATAATAATTGAGTCCTAGGTAGGGGTAGGGGTGCGTAGGCGCTTTAAGCCGGGCTGATGGCTCGTTAGGCTGTTACTAGGTTGCTGGGTATTGCTGGCTTGGGTGCTAGCCTAGCTACTCTGATAGAGGGCCTCATAGGCCTTCTGACCAGCCTTACGGATCCGGGAGAGTTCCTTCCGGTCTGGGAGTGTATGGGAGCCATTAACCACTAGGGGCCTTGCTGGGCAGTCCTTGTGGTTAGCTTGGAAGGGGCCGGAGCAGTTGGCGCACTTCGGTCTAGCTATGCAGGGCCCAGTCTCGTGGGATCCCGAGGGCCTGCTATAGTTGCTACAGAGTGGCTGTCGGTGATAGTATCGGTTCGAATGATATCCCTGGCATCCAGGGTTATGTCTAATTAGGGTCTTCTTCTTTTAGATAAGCTGAGACCTGCTGCTTTAGTTAAACAGTCTAAAGGGTAACGTGAATGATAAGCGAGTGAGACAGACAAGCGAGTGAGACACAAAACTGCGCCGATGATGCTTCAACACAAATGGAGACGTTTCTTCCACAACACATCATGGCATCCAGAAGTAATGAGTCAGGCATACAGCTGGCCCTTCAAGCTATCAGAATCAATCCAGAGCTTAGTGCACGGGCTGCAGCTACGATCTACTCGGTCAGCCATGCAACATTGAGTCGACGATTGAAGGGCTCTACATCTCGAAGCGACAGGATACCGAACTCGAGGAATCTTACTTTGCTAGAAGAGCAGACGTTAGTTGATCACATTCTCGATCTAGATGCCCGATCCCCGGATCCGTGGTATGGAAGAAATGGCTGATCGACTGCTTACTGATCGCGACGTACCTCCGGTTGGGAAGCGCTGGGCCTTAAACTTCGTCAAACGACAACCACAATTGCGGACGCGGTTTTTTCGGAGGTACGACTACAAGAGGGCCCAATGCGAGGATGCAGAGGCTATTCGCGGCTGGTTCGCTCTTATGAAGAACACAATCGCGAAGTATAGTATCGATGAGTTTGATATCTACAACTTTGATGAGACTGGCTTTATGATGGGCCAGATTGCATCTGGCATGGTTGTCACAAGTACTGAAAGGCGTTCAAACACAAAAATGGCGCAGCCTGGTAATCGAGAATGGGTTACAGTGATTCAAGCCATCAACTCGCAAGGCTATAACGTCCCGCCGTACATCATCGTTGCAGGCCAATATCACCTCTCAACCTGGTATACAGAGTCAGGTTTCCCGGACGACTGGGTCATTGCGACGTTAGAAAACGGATGGACAACAAATTAAAGAGGCCTAGATTGGATCCAGCACTATGATCGTCATACGAAACCACGTTTGAGAGGCCAATATCGCCTCCTCGTCGTCGACGGGCACGAAAGTCACCACTCAACAGACTTTGAGCTATATTGCAAGGCAAACAAGATCGTTACACTTTGTATGCCGCCTCATTCGTCTCATCTACTCCAGCCCCTTGACGTTGGGTGCTTTGGTCCGCTAAAGACGGCGTATGGGCAACAAATTGAGGATAAGATGCGGCGGGGCGTAACCCACATCTCAAAGGAGGACTTCTTTCCTGCATATCGCAGCGCATTTAGTCAAGCGATGACTGAAAAAAACATCCAAGGGGGTTTTAGAGGAGCTGGGCTTGTTCCTCTGAGTGCAGAAAGCGTCCTATCAAAGCTGGATATCCGGCTACACACTCCAACGCCTCCAGCATCACCACCACAGACACCTCCGCCTTCGGTTTCAAGGACACCAAACAACCCAGTAGAGGCAAGCTCTCAATCCAACTTTATTAAGAGTCGGATCACTCGTCACCAAAGCAGCTCCCCAACCTCTATTTGCGAGGCTGTTGAACGACTTTCTAAAGGTACAAGAGGCATTATGCACCAAGTAGCCTTACTTAGATCTGAGGTACAGATTCTTAGAGACGAGAATAACCAACTCAGTCGACGACGGAGAACTAAGAAAACACGCCTACAACATGGAGGAAGTCTTACTGTAGCTGACGCAGCAGATATACAGTCACAGAAAGATGTGACTGCGCAGGTTCAGGAGGAAATGCGTCGTACTAGTGGTCGCAAACTGAGGGCCGAGACAGGTCAGCGACGGTGTGACGTTTGTGGTCACCCGGGACACAATTCACGAACGTGCCAGTTTATTGAAGAGATGTCTGAAGATGAGGATTATGAGTAGTTTGAATTGAATTGATGCTGTTGATGTTGATATGGAAGCCAGTTTATCTCATCGGCGCAGTTTTGTGTCTCACTCACTTGTCTGTCTCACTCGCTTATCATTCACGTTACCGGCTGGTAAAGAAGGCAATGCCGTCTGGCACGAGGCCATTCCTAGCCCCCCTTGGAGATTGTGGTCTAGACTGCACTGTTTTAATTGAGCTGGGTATCCCATGCTGCCATAAGATCTACTCCTAAAAGTTAGATTTAGCTACTTTCAGTAAATGGGAGGTATAACCTCGGTGGCGTCTTCGAGAGACGTCTTCCTCAGATCCATACCGCCGGATCCTTGACCCTAAGATTGCTGCATCCCTCCGCGGTAGGCTAAAGAACATATTGCAGCCTGTCCTATCATAACTAGCCTTACCTGCAGAGGGCCAGTCAGCCAGACAAGCCCGCACTACCTATAGCAGCCAAGGCGTAAGTAGTAAGAAGCGAGGCCGCCCACCTGGGAGCAAGAATAAGTCGACGCTAGCTGGGCTTACACAAGAGACAAGTTAGCCAAGTCAAAGCCAGATATCAAGCTCATCCTAGCGACAAACAAGGAGCCAGTCTAGTGTTCTTGGTAAGGGGAGGACAACAGGGAATTATGCAAGTGGACGGCCGATGTAGCCTAGTGTTCGGAGGAAACGGAGTTAGTGGGAAATGGTCTGTAGTGACGATGAATCTTTGCAACCACGTCGCAAAAGGTAGTTAGGTAATAGACCTTTTGAGGGGTTATATAGTCCCTATTTGAGATTTACAAACCTGGGGTATAAGTAGGCTGTAATACGTACTTTTAGAAATCTCAAATCCGAGCTTAGGTTAGAGAAGAGGGCAGGAATAGCCATGTTAGTGCAGTCACCCTCACCGCCTTTATGGGGAGGTATTGTTTTTTTGAGCCAATCAAAAGGTCGAACAGCGACGCCGGTGTAAGGTCGACGCCGGTGTATCAATTTGCGACGCCGGTATATCAATTCCCATGGGATATCTACCAGCTAGAGCCTAAGGGCCTGGCAGACTATCCGGCGTAGGGCGAAGGGGGCGTGCTTCTTAGTAGCCACTAGGCCCTCTTCTAGGATATAGGTAAAGACCCGGAGGTCCCCCTTCGGTTAGGATAGAGCCTGGGCCCGGGTCTCCGTTAAACTCTATGTCTGGACATCGGGCCGGGTAGGGATTCGGGCACGGGTCGGGGCTACGGCTACAGCTGTAGTTAAAGCCGAGGCTATTACGTTAGTCTATTTCCGGCTCGGAGCCAGAGCCGTAATCTCGTTACCCATAATCCTCTTTAAGGCTTAAATTATATAGGTTATAACTAGCTTTTTTTATAATCTACTTCCTAGGCCCCTTAAAGCAAGAGATTACGTTGTCCATAGACTAAGTAATAACCATAAAGACGTCCTTTCGGGCTTCATAGTACTTAGCCTCTTCATTAAGAGCTATAAGGACAGCTCCAGTAGCTGTCCTAGTCATAGTCGAGGGCCCCTTAGCCGTTAAGGGGGTTGTTGTTGGGGCGTCGGGCTGGCTTCCTACGAGGCTAGGCTGGAGTGGCTAGGCCTCGGTTTCGCGGCGGCATTTAGCCCTTGAGGATGGGGGCGGCTCTGAAGAGGGTCCAGAGCCTCGATCAGGGCCGGCCGAGGAGGCCGGCAACGGTCCAGAGCCCGCCGGAGGCTACGAGGCCATTGCAGGAGGGCGCCAGAGGAGAGGTGAAGGGTTTTCAGCTATTAAGGATTTTGGTGGTAGCCCACTTATTACACTAATAGTAGATGCCAAGATAATTTTAGGCGAGAGGGAAGTTTGGACGACGCGCCATGAGACAAATCCAACTTCATCCATTAGGAAACCGATGCAAATTTGCCGAACCTGTATCTCGTCACAGTAATCATCGAAGCAGTTGGAAATTTTGGAAATCTTTGCTTTCTTCGAGGGCTTCGCCTCGATATTCGCATCTTTGTCAGATTATTTCGGCACAAAGTGTGGGATCGATCCCTGAGGTTCAGACCAATGGTTAACCGAGGGCGTCTCTCGCCGGCATGCCTTCCATGCAGGGGGAGGAAACTCAAGGCAAGTTCTCTGGACTTACCGTACATTCCTATTGCATAATTTTCTCAGGAAGTCTTTTGACTGACGATCCGTCGCCCCTAGTGTGATCTTCAGCCGGACAAATGTGGCCAATGTGCCAGGGCCAGATTAATATGCCATGGATATCGGGATCCTGACGCTATACAGTTCCGCAGTGAGAACATTTCGGCGGAACAAAAGGTGACTGCTCGTCGGAGCCGTGTCTTACACGCAGAAAACCACCCAGCCTCCTTGGACCTGAGCTGGGATACACGAGCTCGATATGCATTCTTCTCGACGTACATTCAAGGCTTTACTCGAAGCATTGGCGAGATAGCTTACCATTACCGGACCGCAAAGACACTTGATCTTCTTTCAGCGAGCTTCGAAGCAGCAAGCCTAGCCTTTATGGCTGTTCAGCTCGGCAGTCCAAATCTTCTCCGGTTGGCTAACTCAAGTTACGTCACGGCCATCCAGCGACTTAATCACATTCTCTGCTCACTCGAACCTGACGAAGCGGAAAAAGCACTTCAAACCATCCTGCTGCTAGATATGTACGAAAAGCTTGTACACCGGGATCCGGGAAAGTCTCAATCGTGGCCGAGTCACGCACAAGGTGGCTTATCACTACTCGGTGCCCGTGCGACGAGTATTGTGTCTACCTCAACAGGCTGCCAAGTTGCAGCGAGACTTGTGACGGCAGTGACAGTGAGCTGTGCCACAGTTGGAGATAGAGTACCTCTAGAGCTTACGAAGGCTCGTCGGAATATTGGCTATCGTGTCAAGAGCGTGAAATGGACATTTCTAGGTGTCCTCGCCCAGGTCGTCAACCTCAAATTCGATATCGTTTATGGGAGAATCTCGGCATTGGAACTTCTGGTGAAGGCAAAAGGTATCGATGAAAGAATCGATACGTTGGACAAAGCCCGCCCGCCATCATAGAAACCAGTAACCATGAAAGTCACTGCAGACAAGCGGATCCTGGGATGTTTCTACGATATCTACCCAGACCACTACATCACTCAAGTCTCCAATGCAATCTGCACAATCCGTCTCATTCTTTACCACCTTGTCAAAACTTACGTCCCTAAGAGAGTCGACCAAAAGAGGACACCTTTCATGGAACAGGGCGCGATTCGGTCAATCAGATGTGCGCCTCAGTGCCTCAGTTTATCTTAACAGGAGTACACAAAACAAATACGTTGCCTTTCTCGCCTGTGCAACAGCTTCACTGCAGCACCTTTCTGGCGCCACTTTATCTATCAATCAGGTATCAGAAGATGAGAAAGCAAAAGCATGGGTGCAAGAATGTCTGAAGTTTATGTGGGAATCTGGAGGCCTCAAAGCAGCTAAAGAGATACTCCATGTCACACAAACAGCACCAGACCTAGACTACTGGACCGTGTTTGCTATGACCGGTAGCTACGCGCTTGGAGCCTAAAACAATGTGGCTAATTCTGTGATACATTCTCAGTCATTCACATCATGTAGTATGAGCAAAAGTTAGTTTATGTTCTATGTTCATCTTAATTGGACATTACGTGTGATGAGGAAGGAATACAAGCTCCCGCATCAATTCTAGGTGCAAGCAAGCTAGTGTCACTCGCAACAACCCGATGGAAACCTCGGCCGAGCCAGCGATTATTCATCGAGGGGTGCGAATATGAGCCTCTCTCTACTCCTTTAATCCATCCAAAGATATAGCTGAATCAACGACAGTCCTTTCATATGAAGTCCATTGTAAGCCCAAAATCTTCCTCTCCCGGGATGTGTTGTATCCAAAAGACTTCAAAGCCGGACTGGGCGCTCCTCCGAAGTTACCAGGTTCTGGCAGCTTTTCCCTCATTGAAGGGAAGCTATTCCAAAGTGCATTGGCCATCTCTTCATTGCTGTAGAATCCGGCTGCAGTAAGGAAACGCTTGCCCCCAGCGCTCTGGACCTCTATGGCTCTTACGTGTGCCAGGGCGATGTCACGGACGTCAGCCCAGAGGGGCAATGCTGTGGGCGGCAGACCTGCCTTGTGCTTTCCGAGAATGATTTCCGCCAGAAGCTGGTTCGAGGTTTTAATCCCGTAGAGTGACTTGACCGGCACTCTGACGGGGCCATAGATCATGGGCGGGCAAATGGTGGACAAGGTAAAGTTTGGCTTCTCGGTCTCGACAAGGTTCCAGGCCGCCCTTTCGGCAAAGACTTTTGAAGCAACATATGCCATCATGCCATCGATTAGGCATCCTCTAGAGTCACTGGGCTCCAGTATTCCTCTGAGTACGTCTTTTCTGCGCCTATGGATGCAATTCCAGGGTTCAAAATGGCTGCGAAGGAAGAGGTCACGACGACGACGCGCTTGACACTGGGGCAGGAATCTTTGATCGCCTTGTAAACGCCCGTTGTACCGAAGACAGCAGGATCAATGAGATCTCTCTTCGGGTCTGTGACATTGTAATGGAACTGTGCACCGGTGAGTAGGAGGTTCAAGGGATGGTAGCAGTCAATTTTCCCTAAGACTTACTGGGCTTGCCACGTGTATCACAGCTTCAAGTCCAAGAGAGCCCAGCCCTTCGAAGGCCCCATCCACCGCAATATCTGGGACAAGCACAATATCGAGATTGCCATGAGAAACGTCTTTGTAGGCATTCAGTACCGCTTTAGCCTTCTTCTGAGATCGGACAGTGGTGATAACGGAGTGTCCACGCTTCAACAGAGTGTCAATCACATGACCGGCCACGAAGCCAGTGCCTCCTATGTTCCAGAAAGCTTTTGCATTAGCCTTATTTCCATTTTCATGATACACTCAGTCATACCGGTGACAAGAACTTTGGTCATTATTGTGCGTGATAATTATGTAGGATATGGAGTAATCGCTTGTGTTGCCTTTGTGGATGGCTTGAATGATAAGGCAATTTGAGTGACGAAACTTGAGAGGCAATTGTGAGTTTTTTCAGTAGTTTTTAAGTCAACTGCTGCATAATTCGCTACTGTAAGTAAGTGACGCGTAATTGCCGATAGAAATCAGGTGAATGGTCGGCGCCAGGTCTGGATGACGAAGCAACGTGAGCCTGGCGAGTAATGAAACTTTTTCAGTGGCTCGATCTTGGCTTCCACGAGCTTACAAGCCATGTCATGAACGTTGCAATTATGGGGACAGTGGCCTTGGAATACCCCCTAGCATCAAGACAAGGTTCGAAATGGCTTATAGGGCGAGTTGATGCATGCCGTAACGCTAGCCATTTCTGGACATAAACATCAACATTTAGACCGAGTTGGGATCTCGCAAGTGGAAATGACAGTTCGTTGCCTCGGATCCATGTCGGTATTACCAAAACATTACTCAAACAGCGCTGACATTTAATTCCATTGACTCCGATGTCTGAACCATCAAGAGTAAGTCACCTTGGAAATATCTCAAGATCGTGTCTGATTTCAAAGCAACTGGATTTATCAGAACTATCGAGGGCATCGGCAAGCCGGATTTCAATAGTTCAAATTACCAGTTGAAAGAATAGTTTGGTTGCCATTCCGATGACTTCTGTTTGATTATATTGGTCTGGGAGTCGCTCCATGATCTACACATCAAGAACCACCCCGACGAGAGACTAAATGGTCGAAGGCTTTGCACGAGATGCTCCTGAGGGGTTCCAAAACTTCATCAAAAATGTAGCCATTGTAGGAGTGAGTTATTACGGATAATATCTACATGTGGAGATAAGTTATAGTTGACGAAATAACTTCTAGGCTGGCGGGAACATTGGAAAAGCCATCGCAGAGGAACTCCTAAAGACTGGGAAACATACCGTGACAGCTATCACTCGTAATGAAAGCACTAGCTCCCTACCGATTGGTGTCAAGAAGGCCTCTGTCAGTTACGAGGACAGGAAGTCGGTGGTGGCAGCTTTGAAGGGTCAAGACTTCCTCATCATCACGCTCTCACTGAGCGCCCCTCCGGGTACTCATACATCTTTTGTTCAAGCTGCTGCCGAGGCAGGCATTTCATACGTCATGCCAAACGCGTACAGTATCAACGCACACACCGAAGCCATCAGGAGAGACATTCCTATCACAAACGCCGCCATGGAGAATATCGCAGAGGTTCAGAAAGCGGGCTTGACTTCGATTACGCTGATGAACGGGTTCTGGTGCGAGTACAGCCTCGTCGCAGATCCCGCCACCTTTGGCTTCGACTTGAAGAATCGCACGATTACTTTGTACGACGACGGCGAACAAGCTATCAAGGTCTCTACATGGGCACAATGTGGTCGCGCCGTGGCATCTGTGTTGAGCCATAAGATCCTCCCCGAGAACGCCGACGGTCAGTCGACAACCATCTCCCAATTTCATAACAAGACTGTCTTTGCCTCAAGCTTCAAGTTTAACCAGCGCAACATGCTGGAGAGTGTCAAGCGAGTGACGGGGACAGCCAATTCTGACTGGAACATTGATCATGAGACCACTAAAAAGAGGTACAGCGACGGTCTTGAAGAGCTTAAGCAAGGCAAGGAGGAGGGCTTTTATAAGCTGATGTACGCTCGTGTCTTCCAACCGACCGATGATGCGGACTTCGCGTCTGACAACAATCTCCTGGGGCTGCCAATCGAAGATTTGGATGAAGCTACACGCACTGCCATATCAATGTATACAGAATACTCAATCGATAGATGAGCCACTTAGTAATAATTACAGAAATATGCGGTATTAATACCGGCATTCTGCTTTAATTGTAAAGAGCTTCCACTCGAGATCTCCATCTTGTCCTCAGCCAGGCTATGTGGGGTTCGCCATACAACGAGATTTGTCAACCAATCTCTTAGCTCAGAGACTAAATCATTTGACAAGATCAGCTTGCTTCTCTTTGGCTGCCTTCTCTACCTCAAGAGTCTCTGCCCATGTCATCTTGGATATGCGTGGAGGGGGGTCCCGTTGTCCCTTGGAATCTCGAGGGACACTTTCTGCTGCGACACAATCGGGGCCACCGGAATAATAAGAGCGGCTATCAGCTTGATGATATTAGTAGCTGAACATATCAAGAGAGATTCAATGTCTACAAACCCATTGTGTTTGTGATAGACAACGCCACTTTGTCGGCCTTCTCTCCCAAGGTCTTCAACTAGATAACGTCAGTGCATGGGAGGTACAAAATTACAACTTGTTCAACAGCGTAAATCACTTACGAATCCCATATTGAGTATAAGGCAGAATAGTTTTCGGAAATCAAGAAATCTTACGAAGTGGTACTTGATCTCACAATGTGCTGAGAAAACGGTGGCCCTTTGGGCAAGGTCGTCTCTTATTTATCCAACTTTTGTCTCGTTGTTCCTGCTTTTGACGGCTATCTTAACAACTTAGCATGTCGCACAGCCGCAGTTCTTCGCCCAGCGGCTAGGAAATGATCCCTACGCCTCAAGTGACAAGTTACGTCATTTTGGGGCGCATCTGGCCACCTGAGTAACTGAGCATCTATTGTTTTGCCAAGGGAAATTTTCCGCCAATCCAAGTTGGGAGGGGCTGTGCCGCTAGCACTTGGCAAAATTGCAACGTGAATAGCCAGAAAAGAAGTAAATGGTGGGATTGATGTTCGGACTCTGTTAAATGACTGCGAAACAAGGCTAGCCGATACGCCCGAGTTATATGTTTTATTGTCCACTCCGCCCCCACCCCCTGTGATAACGAAACAATTGATGACGTATAGCGTTTTCCATTCTTACATCCATGAGGAAAGAAAGTACAATTTCTCTTTGTCCAACCAAGTTCCTCCTACAATAGCACAATGCCCCTTAGTCTGATCAACCTGCGCAGTGGTGTTATTCACGGAATAATTAGATGTACTTGCCTGCCAAAAACGGCACAAATGAAATCACGGGCAGCACTACCACGAAGCTTCCTTTCTATTAAAATTCCAACTCTGTCAGTTTTCAGTACAGGCTATAATTGCTGCATAAGGAGTGACCGGTGCACTTGCCCACGTGCTGCTGACATCGACAGGCCTCCTGGCTGGGTGATCAGTGTAGGTCACCGCCACACCTTTATTGATTACGAAGTTACCTGTCATATTTCCTATCTATCAGTACTTTCGTATTCGCGACTTCTTGAGGCTTTTACTGAAACAGGATGATACAGGGGTGAGTCATTGCAGCCTGCAGGCGGCAACTCTGGTCTCGGTGTACGCTGCATCACTGCGAGATACATCAAGGTGTCTAAAGTACGTATTCGAGCAGATACATTGTTTTCGGTCCAAAATTCGGCGCTGCACTGATTTTCCACCGCTCTATGGTATACGTGAAGTATTGTCGGGCATCAGTCGCTGAGACTTCAATTGACTCTGATTCCTGTCCGCGGCCAGCATATCGACATGGACTCAATCCCGCCTCTTGCATATCGAGAGTGCATATCTGCGTTGAAAACCCATGTCACACATTCTTGAAAATCACGCAGAAAACTTTCCAACTAGTATCAATTTGTCGACCTATCTTATTGACGCCCGCTTGCGATCAACTTGTACATCTCGGCGATACTAGGTCGCGTCCTCATGCCGAACAATTGAGCGAATGTGCGAACAGCGTCGATTGAAGCCGATTGTTTCCCCTTAGATGAAACTGCATGTTGAGCTTTTGATCCGCATCTGAGTTTTTCCGTGACGGCGTTTTCGGGGACGGAACATCGTTGGCAAACGTTGTCAGGAGAAGCAATGGAATGTGTCCTATCCGGGTTTTGGGCAGCGCGGAGTACTTACATGTAGGTAGCTCAGAATAAATGCGTGCATTTTTCTTCAGAATCTTAGCGACCTAGTTGTACGTAATACTTCATCAACCTGGGTCGCTCCTGTCGTATCAAGCGCTAACTCGGTAAGTAACACTCTCGCAAAGGCTGCAGTTCACTAGCTTATACTAACGCAGAGAGTTCCAAGTTTTCATAATAGATACACTGCCCGTATCTTGAGTTGTCCTATTGACTTCACTCTCTCATATGAATGATCATACACAACTACACAATGTTTGTCTTCAATTCCTGACTCGTGAAATGTCTGCATCGTTCAAAAGTAAATAGGGCCTACCAGGATAGATTTGTTGTCAAGGGCTTTATTCCGTAGTCGGGCAACGACTCTTTATCTTCCCTTCTAGGACAAATCTTCGTCTTTGAGTTTTTATACTGGCATACCGAGAGTTGAGGTTGTTGAACGGAACAATCCGTCTGCACCACTTAAGGTATTTTATTCCCTCAAGTAGCTGTCTTAAACGGAGATCCCTTCACGCTTCTTCAACTTGCGGCGCAATATAACTTCCCAAATCGCGGGGTGTACGGATACTCTGTCTCTATGCCAGTAATATATCCGGAGTATTGGCGAGCATTTACCACGAACGTCTTAGTTGAGCTCTATCGTAATGACTCATCGCCCACCTTGATGGCACCCTCTGCCGTGAAGCCGAGAAAAATAGAGTAGCGACGCGTTTTACCAAACCGTCAAACTTCACCAATTCCAGGCCTGGCTCAAGACTGTGCCAGGTCAGCATACGGTCGTATACTCAGACGGCTCCAAAGCTCCTGACGGGGCTACAGGGTTCGGCTTTCTTATCTACCGCAACAATAAACGTATAGCCCAGGGCTGCGGCCGTCTCGGCTTAGCAGAAGTGTTTGATGGTGAGGCGGAGGGGGCGAGGGCTGGGCTCCGACGGGCCCTTCAGACCTCCCAAGGCCAGCCTATACACATCTGCATCGACAATACCAGCGTTATTCAGGGGATTCGCGGTAAGGTCCCAGACTCCTCACAAGCGGCCTTCCTTGAGATCCAGGAGGTAGGCAGGATACACGATATACGAACCCATTGGTCTCCTGGGCACCAAGGTATTAAAGGAAACGAAGAAGCAGACAGCCTAGCTAAGGAGGGAACAACTCTACCAGTCCTTAGGGTCCAACTAGCTACTCTATCAGGTATCAAGTGGCTTGCTAAAGAGCGGCCAAGACGCCAATATAGACGATGGTGGAAACAAGAGGCAACTCCCCGCTATACCCAACTAGGGCTCAAGGCTACCCTTGCTTGCCCTCCTGAACTTGGCCTCCCTAGGGCTGCCCTTCATCACCTCCTCGCGGCACGGTCAGGCCACGGGGACTTTGAACAATATCACCAACGCTTTAACCACAAAGAAGCACTACTCACCTGCTCCTGTGGATGGGTTAAGGAGGCAGACCATCTAGTCTACTGCCGAAAGACCCTACTGAGGAGGCAACAGTGGCCCACCCTCTACCCCTACAGCCGCCAGGAGCCCGTAGGACCTATAGGGTCCCTCGATCGCTACTTCAAGGGGCTAATCACTGACTCTGAAGGCTTCCAGGCCTTCCTCTGCGTGACAGACTTCTTCCAGAAGATCTGCCCGCGGTACTAGAAGATAGGTCATAACCTATCCTCCAAACGACAGACTACCTCTAATAAGAAACCAGATGGTTATAACGGAACTAGGGCACCAGTGGGAACTAGGGATGGATAGAACACATAGTAGCTCACGAGCAAGATTTGGAGGACGTCAGGAGACGGCGTGTACTATATAGTATATAGCTAGAGCCTGCGACCCTTCACGCCACATACCCTCCGGGAGGTCTGCCGCAAGGGCAGCTGCGCCCTTGCCGCCATGGCGTTAAATATAAAACAAACAAAACAAACAACAAAACAAACTTCACCAATCCAGCAACACCGCCTACCACCCGACGAAATCACGGTTGATGACCATGACCAGAGGGCCTGGAAATAACGGAGTTGCTCCGCCTTGGTTGACTTCGCTGCATGGGCAGCCATATCACATACGGCACTACCGGCATTGGTGAGAAAGAAGACAAAGCTCCATGGCGGCCCCGGACCCAACCTTTAAAGACGCAATCGAGAAAAAGAAATTTTCAACTCAATCACGGAAGCGGTATCGGGCTCGGGTGCGCTGGTAAAACTGACAGAAGGGAATTTGAGCGAAATTGGCGCTCGAGATCGAAGGGGGTTGGAAGGTTTGAGGCCGGTGGAGACATTGGTAGAAATTCTATCCCGAGTCGATATGTGATAGGCTTTAGCACACGAAAAACACCCTTGAGGCTTGCCCGCCCATTGACTATGTCCAACCTGCTCCGAGGTCCAGCTACCGCAGGGATTTTCGGGTCTCTTGTCGACTCATTACACTTTTCCATACGGATACAGGTCCCCTGACAGCCACGTCAGCCTCGTGGCAAATCGAATACTAGATACGAATGTAAGCCCGAGCGCAAGTTACGGCATGTTCCATTGTGTATAGTCGCGCCTGCATTAACAGCTTAATTCGTGACAATTAGATACTGGCCAGTGTGTAAGAGATCGATCACTTGATTACGTGACTAAGCCCAAGTGCGAGAAGGTTGACAACATCACCCGCCATCCCCATCCCCGTATCCCCCCGGCAGGGTTTATGTTTGGTGGTGCCCTGGGCACACGGGAGTACCAGGAAATGAAGAAGCGGATGCTCTAGCCAGAAAGGCAAGCTAAAGCAGCTGCCTTCCAAGCCTTTGCCAGAAAATGGCTGTCCTAATGCCCTCGGCAATATGCCGACCTCGAGATAATTCTTTATCCTAAGCCGCCCGAACTCCGCCTCCCTCGGCACTTACTAGGAAGGCTATACGTAGCAAGATCCCATTATGGAGACTTTGTAGTATACTACGAGAGATTCGCTTATTAAGATGCGTTATTTAACTGCAGCTGTGGGAAACCCAAGATACCAGTCCATTTCTACTTCTACAAGCGTAGACGCAAGGCTACACCGCGCTACCTCCGCTAACATATAGCCAAAGTAAACATTAATTTCTTATTAGGCTCTGCTAAGGGAGCCTCTCTTCTATGCGAATGGATAGAGGAGACCAATTTCTTTTCCGAAATTTGCCCGAGTCACTAAACAGGAACGTTAGGTGAAGACGGTAGCCTGTAACATAGTTTAGATTAGCATAGACCATGTCGGCATAGCGCCCGGCACGTCCTTTTGTTACCAGACGTTAAATACATCATCATCATCATCATCATCCCCGTATCGTACACTGTCACAAATGACATCTGCCTAGCGAACAACAAACAATCCGCGCCAAGCTTTCCCTCCGCGGTGCCAAGATGGACGATAATCCGATTCAATGACTTCCTCCGCGTTTTCAATAACACTTGTAGCTCGTTTTACGTTATGCCAACTCGGTTGCGCCCCTCAGCTTCGTATAGAATCTTGTGACTTGTGATGAAATGGATATCCACCGGGTGACTGGCAGCGCGTGAACTGTTGAAACTCAAATTAGAGTGTCCCATGGCATAAACTAACTTATGCTTCTCAACGGCGGTGAGTACCCGGGCCCGTGCTTTTCCATCTTTGCCAGCCACGGTGGAACATGGAATGTGGGCGGGATGATCCTTTGTCGTTATCAGAGCCCTTGAGCACGTTTCTCATTTGGCAAATTCATTCCATCCTTAGTCGGACGTCATGCGCAGGGGATGTTTGGACTTTTGGGCAGGACGAGGTCCTTGCTATTCCACCTCCACTTGCAATCGGTAGACATAGCAGAGCACAGTAATTGAGGGCATCTCGCGCCTAATCTGAAGAGTTTAGGTAACTGTTTCCGTGAGCGGCTCTGAACGCCCGTCTGTCAGAATATCAGATATGACTGCTTGAGATCAAATGCTTCATCTCTCGATTCATACGGGTTACGACCACGTCGATTTGATGGGGAGGACAACTGAACTAGCCTTGCGGTGCCGCGTGTTGTGTCTACGAATAGTGTTTTCACGTACATTGTGTTTACGTACAGAAAAGGGAGGAAAAGCCAAACTTGCGAAGCTTAGCATTGAAGTCGCTGCCCAGTTCGCCATAGCACGTGTAGATTCCACCACAATGGAGACGCACTTGAGTTATCTGATCCTTTCTAGCTTGATCGAAGGCTAAAGCGCGGATTTACAAAATCGTATCAATCGATTCCGTCAGAAACATTCCAATGGCGGGAAAAAGGCAAAAATGCCGCCAGCTAGCTCCTATTGAGGGCCCGTGATGTGGATCTTTTGCGAGTCTAGAACCTCCTTCGAGATCCGTCCGAAATTCGGACATGAGGTCGGAGATTCACCGACTCGAACACTCCGTGACTCTTCTGAGTGTCTTCGTTGCCGGAGAGCTGCTTTCCTTGTCGATTGATAAGACATGGAGCGCTATGAGCACGTGGACAATGCTCTCCAGGTCGAAAGTGATGAGAGGTCATTCCCTGGACAAAGAAAAGCATCTGCGTAAAACTGAGCCAATGACCTCGAAGATGTCCAACACGATGCGTTGCTGATTTGGACCGAAAGGGTCGAAGAGTACGGAGTAGGCCAATGACACGGCAACTGACTCGGAAGAGCCCCGTCCCCTTCTAAGCTTCTTCGTGGAGGCGGCGCCCTATGGCCCGAGAGCTAGGCGGCCCACAAGGATCATCCGGATTGTTCGCACTAATACATGGCTTATTAGTATGCATGGGGGGTTCCAGTTGTGCCGCAGCCTCCTAATAATTCAAGCGTAAGCTGGTCGGCCGAGGAAATTGTAGTGAGACATGAGTTGAGCTGGCGCATAGAGTGGCAGAATCCCAAAGAGACGGATCACCCCCATTTTGAAACAATCTTATCGCTCTCGCATTATTCTTCAACTTGAACCAGCGGCTATAGGAGGACCTAGAAGCAATCTTAAGTTGGTCAATATGCTGAGTATGATGTGATTTCGGCGTCTCCGATCACATCGCAATCCTTTGTCTGGCGATTTTGTCCCGTAAATGCAAGAATTACAACTTCGGTGTGCGCTTGGCACGTTAAGATATCTATATGCCATAGAAGCTCATCGTGGCATCATTTCCAATATCAATCCATGGCCTCCAAGAAACCTTTGCTATCCGTACTTCGTACTCGTAGAACCGCAGATCTGTACGCAGGCTGACTCATGCGACGACGAAACCCACAGCAAAGAGCGGGACACGTGCCTCTGCAACCCATTTTGCGTATATTGCCCTGTCGTCGATCGGTCCCTCTTCCGCAAGGTCCTACCGTAGCAACGCGCCAGGTACCCGCCGTTACAACGGTCAGCCTGGGCCAGCTAGGTCAGCCCTGGCGAATCTCATCGGGCTGAAATGGCGAGCTGGACCCCGAGGAGCTAATTACTTGAGACGATCCATAGATTCCATCTGTACAAAAGTCTAATCGCCGGATGCTGGGGTGAGCCAGCTGGACGGTAAACACCATTCCCCACAAGGGGCCCCTGGTTAGCGCAAACTATGCGTCGATTACATCGCTAAAACAACGCACTAAACGAGTCACGATTGGCTTTTCTTCTTGACGCAGTGTTGAACCAAAGTCCAAACTCACTTCCCTTCCAGCGGCGAGAAGCCCGCGGCAATTAGACTCGCTGCTGCATCGGAGTCGAACTGAACGACACGCAGATACACCGAACCAACCCACAGATTCCCCGAGATGGGGGGCTGGCGATAGCCTCTTGGCACGACAAGCGCCAACCAACCACAACCCACTTACCCCATTGCATTGCGACGTCGTATTACTGCACAAGAGAGGAGATTGCGGAGGGCCCTGACGACGGTTCCCGCATCCAAGGCGGCTCAGGCAGCCGAGAGTTCGAAAAGTCAACGACAGCCGCGTGAGCATGATGTTTTCAGAATCGAACGTTGAGGCGACGAGCTCTGAACACAAGGCTCTTTCGAGGTTAGAATAAGATTGATGAAAAGAGGCGGCCGTAAGTCAGAAGAGGTTAGTGAGGTCCCCTCCCGACGCCATTTTACCTTTCTACTTCCCGTGGATGGTCAAAGTGTAATGGACGAGTCGAACAAACACCGCGCGGGCTGAACCCTCTGCGGCCCGGTCAAGAAACAAACGGAGACACTGGATCAGAAAGATTGAAGTTGAAGAAAGTGTGAATTATGGTTATCGGAATATGTACTAATGTCGATAGGTATCTACTTTCGAAGCGAGTCTCAGCCCAACCTCATGGTAATCAAGTATGTGCAGCCATGAATAAAAACGTGGTATCTCAATGTTCGTCCGTCGTCGTCCGAGCGAAAAACTCGAAAACAGTAATGGCAAGAGCTTAGTTGGCTTCGGAGCCCTGGGCGCCGCACTTCTTGCTGCAGTAGTAGTTCAGCTCATCGCCTCCAATGTGCCAGCCAGCAGAGTTGCACTGGAAGCCGTCCTAGAATCACAATATTAAACTACGATCGGCTGAATGTGGCAGAAGAATACTTACAAAGGTGCAGTCGGGGCACTTATCCCATTGCTTGTTTCCGGTATTGCGGTTCTTGTAGTAGTTGCAGGCACACTTGGTCGCATCGGGCAAGATCTCGTAGTTCTTGCTCCAGGTGTAGCTCACACTCCAGCCAGTGCCGCCGACGGGCATCTCTTGTCTGTTTGTCACGCAGACACTGGCGTTGTGGACTTTTGCGTTGGCACTAGGAAAGGATCATCAGTATCTATGTAGATTCGGGACTGATCTAGGACAAGGCTTACCCGGCGGCCATGAGGCCAACGGAGAGGAGGATAGAGGAGAGCTGCATCTTAAATAAGTAAAGTGCTTTTGGAACGTGCTTCTAGGAGCTTTGGCAATGATGAGGGGGGGATAGATATTGTGAAAACGTGGTAGAGATGAGATGTAGAAAGTTGGTTTGTGGGTAGATTGAGAAGAGGTGACGGGAAGTTGAAATACTTGTACGGTGGCCGGCTCGAGGAAGAAGCTCGTTGTCTTCGCATCTTGCCTCATCCGGGAGACTCCAATCTATTGGACACTGCACTATCGAATGTGCATTACTAGACGAGAGATGAGCTGGGCGGCCGAGGACGCTACGGATGGCCACTCTCTCTCGCGTGCGACTTTCGTTGTGAATTTCAGCGGGAAGTAGATATCCAACTTTACCCGCAAAAGAGATTGATAACATGACCAGGCCATCAAGATCTCTCCCCCGTGATGAGGCGCTTAATCGTGCAAATATGGAACTGGCTATGCTTGATAAGGCAAGTAGCTACGGTGACGATGGGGCTTTATCTGGGGCGACGCCCATCTGTCGGTGTCTGGTTCCGACGAAACGGGGCCGATCTTTACCCACTCAGACGGTCAAACGAGGGCACATGAACGTACCCATGAATGAGGGTCTGCCACCATGACTCGCAAGGTAAACGCTGCCGTCCGAAAGAAGGCAGATGCATGGGAGGAAAACCCCAACTTTCGGATGAACGCTCGCAGCGCGGTGTAATTCAACGGCAAAATGTAGATCACGCCTCGAGGTGATTGTTTTCAGCTCTTGAGATACCGCGATGGTCTCGAAGACCAGTGTATAAAGTCGTGGGAATCTCCCGGGTCCTCTTCGCAATTTTAAGCCATTCATCCTCATCAACTTCCTCTTCTCCTCTCTCACCTCAACATCTCAAACATCATCACCCGTCCAAAATGGTTTCCTCCAGCCTCATCACTCTACTGATGGCCTCGGCCGTCAGCGCCGCTCCCTTCTTTTCGGTCCCGCTCCACGAGCGTGGCATCAATCTCACCAAGTGGACTCCCGACCACAGAGTGACCGACAGCGAGATTGTTCTCCTGACCAACGGCGAGGGTGAGCCTTCCTCAACTTACGACCACTCCTAAACTCCGTACCACGTGCTGACCCTGATCTTGCAGAAAAGATTATTAAGACTGAGGACTGGTACAAGCTCCTCGATGACGAAGGCATCCTCAGCGAAGCCCCGGAGATCGACCATGACTGGATCGAGTCCGCCGCCAACATGTCTGCGCTCGAGTACGACCCCTCCGTCCACGAGAAGCGCGACTGCGCCTACACCACCTCCACCATCATCGACAAGACCGAGCGCTTCGTCGACTGGGACGTGCAGATGTCCCCCGTTGTTATCGGGCCCCGCGGCGGCATGGACCTCACGGTCTCCAAGTCCTACTCCGTCGCCAACTCGGTCTCGCTCTCGGCCGGCCTCAGCCTCACCGGCACCAAGAACATGATCGTCGACGCCATCAGCCGCGGCAGCGGCGCCGCCGCCTCCAACATCGGCATCAGCCTCACACGCACCTGGACCACCATCTCTGGCAACCTCATCCGCGGCAACGTCGGCGAGGGCTACACCGGCGTCGTCATCACCACCCCCTGGACCACCCGCCGCTACGGCCGCTTCTTCCAGGGCTGCATTGGCTCCCTGCGCCAGACCGGTACCTGGATGGCTGACACCCACGACGAGGGCTCCTACGAGGGCGTCAGCTGGGTCTCCGGCGCCATCACCGTCTGCAGCAAGAAGCAGAGCTGGATCCCCCTGACCCGCTGCCACGGCAAGGGCGAGTTCCGGTAAATTGCTTACATCTCACGGCGAAGGCGGACCGGCGATCTATCGTCACCTGCGATGCTGCACAACAACAACTACTCCTGCATGACGGGGTTTGGAGCAGGGCTTCTTCGACATCCCCGTCTGGTGTGTCGCGACGCGATTTCAATAATCAGGGATAAGAGGAATGTGGATACCCATTGACACTTTCTTCTTCACACACATATATTCTTGACTGTACATAGCTTTTCCAGAGACGAATATATTACGAAACTCGCCGCGCAACGGGCATTAATAAATTGACGTACTACAAAGACTTGATTCCTCGTTCGAATTTGGTGAATCCTTGTTTCTAAATGCTTTATTGACAGTGGGCATTTCAATAGCGATGGCACGATTGATGGCGCGGTCCCCAATGGGATGCTACGGAAGAACCGGGATGGCGCCGGGAAACTGCCGGAAATAGAGTGGGTACCGGCGCCGGCGGTGCACCCGGGACTCGGAAACAGGATGGTAGGCACGAATGCGGAAGCCGAGGTTTCAAGGGGACCGACACATGTCCTTTTGGCAATAACCATCTCCCATTGAGACTACAATCTCAGAAGCGAATGCGCGGAGCATCGCCCCCGGATCCGAGTCATGACGTCAGCGCTCATCATCATCCCTTCGTCACGTCTGCCCAGTGACGCGACGAATATGCGCAGGACGTGTCTTTGACGACCAACAGCTTCAACCCAGAGCTAATGAAACCTTACAAAACCTCAAAAAACCTCACAAGTCCTCTCACAAATCTCATATTCCCTCATCCAGACCAAATCTTCTCTTACCATCCCCATGCACTTAACAGCCCGTCACATCGCAAAGAAGATTGCAACCCACCCCGAGACCAAGTCCTTTGTAACGTCTATCCAGAGAAACATGGCGTCCGGCACTCCCTCCGAAACCGCAAAGGCCCAGGCCAACGCTGAGGCCAGCACGCCCACCTTTGAGTCCGTCGGCATTAAGAACAGCCATATTGTCCAAAAGTCCGGGGTATCACTGTCCCAGCAGCAGAGAGTCCTGGTCGGCAGCGTGCTAGATGTATGCATCACCCTTGCCCTACGCGAGTAATTCCCTAATTTCCGGCTAATCCACCCCGAAAGCTCTTTGAGGGGAACCCTACCCTGAAGCACCTGTCTTTGTGGTCCAAGACGGCTACGTTCCAGGACAACATCACCGTCGCAGAGGGGTACGACAAGTTCGCCGCCCAGTGGTACGGTCTTCCGGCGCTGTTCAACCCCATCAGGATCCAGTCGCACACCGTGACGTCGGCGGGTAACCCCATCGAGCTGGAGCTGAAGAACAGCTACACGGTCAAGGGCATCAAGACCGAGCAGACCATGGATAGTGTGGTGCAGATTCAGGTCGGCGACGATGGCAAGATCGTCAAGGTCAACGACAAGTGGAACAATGATCTTCCCGAGGGAGCATTCTCCCAGGTACGTAACGCTTTCAATGTCTCTATTTCCAATGCCGCCAAGATCCTGTTGGGGCTACTTGGCCAGGCAAGCTTTGCCGTCTTTTGCCGAGTCTCGTTGTGGCGGCCCTTTTTGGTAGGCGGTATCGCACCGCGGGGTGACGTTCGCTGACTTTGGCAGGCTTTGCGCAAGCTCAATGCTGTGACTGTGCCGGCGTTTGTCAAGGTTCCCAAAACTGAGGAAGAGGACCAGAAACTGAGGGCTGAGCGAGAGAAGCAGTGAAACTGTATGTAATTCTAAGGTGGCAAACAAACACGAAAGTACGTGCCTGTGCCCAAAGCTACTTGACCTACATCATCCGAGGATTCGTAAACTATATCTTGATTAAGCCATCCAAATGCTTGAACTTAATTTTGAAATCCAATCGGGCCTGTTGTATACAATAGCAACCACCAGTGAACAAGACCTTGATACCTCCATTATCAGCGGCCTAGCCGATGGCAGCACATGTAGACAAGACACTCGTCGCACTGAGAATATGGCTTTGGCGGGAAGAAGACTAAGTCGCTGTCGCCCATGCGTCTGGCACAATGATACATCGTACATAACCGCCGAGTCTAGGTGCTGGACGCCGAACACGCGTACTATGTAAAAGGTCAGCGGCGCCGCAGCTTAAGGCTGGCAAGAAATTTATGTTCTACGCTATGACGAGGAAGGCGCTTTACCTGATTGACTTTACAAGGGTAAGCCTATGGGGAAGATGACTCCATGGCAAGGGGACTCATGGGGCAGTCTCCCGTCCCATTCATCCTACGAGTGTTCGAATGGAGACTGCAATGTATCCGTGATAGAAGCCCTCCATCACAAAAAAATGCATGGAAGAGATTACCATACGGTGCACGTGAATGCGGGGCCTCCAAAGGTGGACATGGCCAGACGAGGCGCCATACATCAACGTGACAACGTCTCTGGCACTCTGTTGTTTTAGGTGACGTTCTCGAGTAGGATGCGTGCGAAACCATACTATTAACTTCCTCTCCACCATCTAGAATAGGTACTATAGTCTTTTATCATGAGTCAGCAACCTAGAAAAGTAGTGCGCGCCAGAAGCACAACCATACCTCTTTGCGTGCTGATACCGAGCTGTTCAGCGACATTGACATATCCCTCATGGGTGATCTTGCCGCCTTTCTTGATGTTCTTGATCATATCATCATCGCCCTGCCATATACTACGGCAGTATGGGCAAGTCACATCGCTTGAGCCAAAGCTGCCGCGACGTTTTGTCGCAGCCCACGTCTCGAAACATTCCTTGTGTATGTTTTGTCCGCAAGCTGCGCGACACCACACAATCGTCTCTTTGTTGTCAGATTCGAGCTCGCAGAAGCAGATGGGGCAGTCGCCGTCGATGGGCTTGCGATTCTTGTCTTTGGAATTGTCGGCTTGGGTATCGATGGGCGGGGCCTTGTCAAAGATCTCCTTGAGTTCGCTGGGGACCAAGGCCAGTTGGTAGGTGTGTTCGAATTTCGCGCGGAGGACTCGAGACATGACCTAGCTATTGTTAGAAATATCTAGCAGAGATGGAATAAGTCTGAGGAAGAGCCCACATAGAGCCAGTGTTTGCATTGGTTTCCCTTCATGGAGTGCGGGCAACTACACGACGGGGTCTGACCGATCTTGACTCTGTATACATTGCCAGTAGAGCCAGTCAACTCGATCTCCTCCTCCGGGGCATCCGGGGTGCCGCATCGCCGCCGCCCGAGAACGTAGAAGCGCTGGTTCGTCGCACGGTGGAAAACTTCGTGAAAGCTTTGAGGTGGTTTCGATCGGTATCGGCGCAGTCGTTTCTCGCCGGTACTAGTGCCGGCCGTCTTGGGCTTCTTCACTTTAGTCGGTGATGGGGATGATCGTGATGCATGGTCGGAGGTATGGGCCTTCCGTTTGCGCGCCGACGAAGGCGTCACCATTGCCGACTTCGTTGTGGCGCTTCCGTCATTCTTGGAACAGATGGAAACGGAGCGAGTCGCAGCCATCGATGTGCAGAGTCCTCTCGTTGGGATCGATCGGGGTGGCGAAAGAGTGTAGAAGATGGGCGTTGATGAGGGGCAATTTTTAGTGAACGGGAGAAGAAGGGGAGCTGGATTCTGAAATAACGTGAAGAATTACAAAGCTTGGTATCACCTTGATTGACAAGAACCTTAGTGAGCGCAGTGGCAAGAGCAGCTCCTAGCCGCCCCTACCTTACGGTGCCTTGGGTGCTTAGCTTCCGTCCCCAAACGGACCTGGAAGATGGCGGGGGAGAGGCTCAATGATGACAAGCACGGGCCCTGGATGCCACACGCCTGACACGCGAGATCATGTGATTTTGCGTCCCCTCTCCAGGTCAGGTGACTGAAAGCTTCCAGATCTGAAAGGAGCCATAGTTTAGATTAGCATAGACCATGTCGGCATGGCGCCCATCAACTTCTGAACACATACCTCGAAAGGTACCCACTGTTAGTAATTGTTAAGGTTATAGAGGGCTACGGCCCACTGCACTATCATCTCTCAACATCAGCCCATACGAGCTGAATTCCATAACCATAGCGGTCTCCCTAGATATAGGGCCATCGATCACGGTTCACGGGGACGCCGGTATATCTCGGCGGTCGGGACGAGTCCGGAAGCCGACTACAAAGGTCAGAGTGGTTGAGCAGGTTAACCACCAGGACAACTCTGAGCTTAAAGACGAGATCAACAAGCTTTCGAATCTTATCCAAGACCTCCTACGTCGGGACGCCGAGAGGGAATAGTTTTTAAAAGACTGTTTAACGAAGATCGAATCCTTGGAGAGAGAACTTCAGGAGGAGAAATAGCGTTCAAACCGGCATTAACGTGGTCTAGCAAGGTCTATATACACTATTAGCATAGGGCCTAGCGAGACTAACCTAAGTATCCAGGGGTATCCCTTGCACATAACCCAGAACCAGCCGCCCCCAGTCCGTTCATACGCGGCGGCGGCGAGCCAGCTACTGTCCAGAAGACAGGATGAACCAACGCCAGCTAAACAAGGCGCAAAACAAGCTATAGACCGGGCGGCCTTAAAGGATCTACGCGTCTTCGCACGTTTATTGCCTAAAAGCCTACTTCGGAACGAGAAAACTTACGACATATACATCTTCGTTCGGGAAAGGCTAAGTCCCCAAGCCCGAGAAGCCCTTAAGGGGATCGACTATATTAAGACAGGATTAGTACTCCTACCTTCGTCAATGGATAGTATAAAAGTCCTGCTAAAAAATAGAGAATAGATCGCTGCCCTTCTCCAAGCGTAAGCAATCGAGTAACGCGATACCTAGATCCGAGCCTATATTGCAAACGTCCCTTACACTAGGCATTGTCTGGTAACTAATACTGAGCTAGAAATCACGACCGAGGAGCTCCTTGAAGAGATCCAGGTCTCGACGAAGCTCAAGCCTGAAAAAGCACACTTCTCTAGGAAGGACGAAGTCGAAAGGCTAGGCACGGTAACAGCCTAGTTCAAGGCGGAAGCCGTAAAGCAACTACCAAGACGCCTCCGTTTGATGGGGGCCAGCGTTTTTATAAACCTGCAGTTCCCGAAGGAAAAGAGGTCTCCTTAATATCTCCGCTACGGCGGTTTTCACAGCGAACGAACGTGCACCAGAAGGAAGAGATGCCTCAAGTGCAGCTCTCCTTCCCACACAACTGATCAACACCGGGCACCCTGCGGCGGCACTAAGGGTCACGATGGCTGCGACTGCCCCTTTAAATACCCGTCGTATAACGGGCCTCACGCCGCCTTCGATGCGACTTGCCCTATCCAACCCAAAGTAGTAAAGGGGGTAGTCCAGAGGAGGGATAAGGCTCAGCTACGGGCCATCCGAGCTAAGGGAGAAAGATTATAGAGAAATACGACCCAACAGTCGCATCGACATTCCCATAAAAAAGAACAAGCAATGGACTATACCCCGGCAAATAAGACATAAAAAAAGAATACAGCCCTCTAAAACCCTACAAATCATACAAGCGAATATGGGCAAGCGGGCATCCGCCTACGAAATAGCACTAAACCTGGCTTACGCAGCCCAGATCGATATACTCCTAATACAAGAGCCGTCTATCCGTTCGGAAAAGAGGAGGCTCACAAGACACCACCCAGGTTTTAAGACTTTTACCCCAGTAGATAACTGGACCAAAGACCGTCCCAGGGTACTTACCTACCTCTGCAGAGGAACTAGGGTACGAGGCGTATAAATACGGCCTCTATCCGATCCATCCACAGACCTACTCTTCTTATAACTCCTCTCAGGAACGAAGGAGGTCCTCACAGTCATTAACGTATATAACGCCCCTCGTAGCTCTCTGCGATCTGGCCAGGCTCTCAGGAACATCCTAGCGGCCTGGTAACCCAAACCTGAGGATCGAGTACTGATTGCGGGGGATTTTAACTTATACCATTGGACGTAGCAGCCCGAGGCCACGAGTTCCCCGGACGCTGAAAACCTAGTAGAATGGGCAGAAGCCGCTAGCCTTGTCCTAATGTCACCTATAGGTGAACCCACGCACAAAGGCGGCAACACCCTAGATTTATGCTGGGCGTCCAGCAACCTCCATGGGGCTTCCACCAGCATAGAAACGTCACTACACACGACATCAGACCACGAATCTCTACTTACCCGGGTCCCCTTGGCCCTGATCGATTCACCCAGCCAGACCCCGGGAAGGTTTCGGCTCGACACGATGGACGAGGAGCTTTTCCTCGGCATCATTAAACGCAACTTACAACCCATACGCCGCACTACAAGCAACATCCAAGACCCACAGTCTTTAGATCTCCTAGCACAACAGCTTACGGACTATCTTATTAAAGCACTCACGGCTTCCACAAAGCGCACGCTCGGGAAAGGTACAGGGAGACCATACTGGAGCGAGAGCTGCACACGTAAACACCGAGCCTATGCGAGTAAGCGAGCGATGTTAGCAAGACTCCGCGCAGCCGGACTAAACTACCAATAGGAAGAAGAGGAGGTCGAAGCTCTAAAACAGGACTTCCTCTACGAGTTTAAACGCTCCAAGGATACCTTTTGGAAAGATAAGATCTCCTCAGCCTCCTCAAGCAAAGACATATTTAAAATGGTCGGTTGGCACAAAGCCACAGGATCCTTTCAGACCCCGCCACTCCGAGATGTAGACAACCAAGACACGCTTGTCTCACAACCAAAAGAGAAGCGCGACTTATTTACCCGCGTCCTCCTTAGAAACGCTGCAATCTCCGAGGACATACCAACAGAAAGCCTAGTCTTATAAAGGCAAGCTACGTTTCCTTTCCTATAGGTTACGAAGGACGAGGTACGGTCTTCGGTTCTTACCGCGGGAAATACGACTCCTGGGACCAACGGAATCATTACGATTACTTTGAAAATAGTATGGCTAGTTATCGAGGATATTATCCTCTTATTTTATAGCGGGTATATACGCGAGGGTTAGTATCCTACTTGTTTTAAAGAAGTAACTTTCGTGATCCTAGCAAAACCGGGAAAAAGAGACAAGACACTCCCGCGCTCCTATAGGCTAATTGCGCTCTTGGCCGTCCTCGGAAAAGGCTTGGAGAGACTCATCGCCAGACGACTTGCCTAGATCGTAGTTAAACATCGTGTTCTGCACGATCAATAGTTTGGAGCACTCCCTCTTCGCTCTTATAGCGACCTTATCGCAGCGGCCATCCACGATATCGAGTACGCCTGGCAAAGAGGCCTGGTTACCTCTATGCTTACGCTCGATATAAAAGGGGCTTTCGACGCCGTGCTCCTAGGACGACTGGTCCGACGCCTCTACGAATAAGGATGGCCGGAGAACCTCGTACGCTGGGTCTTAAGTTTTGTTACCGGAAGGAGAGCAAGAATAAGGCTTGATGGGGAGGTAGGAGACGTCTTCGGTCTCGAATGCGGACTACCACAAGGCTCACCCGTGTCTCCTATTCTATTCATGCTCTATATTAAACCTCTTTTTTAGCTAGGCATAGCTCGCCTAAGAAGGAAGCGATCTCGTTTCGGCTATGCCGATAACGTCGCTATCTTAGTAAGCTTAATATCACTAGAGAACAACTATAATATCTTAACTAAGGAATGGAAAGAAACCTTAGGATGGGGCGCGACGGAAGGAATCACTTTTGACCTCGATAAGTCCGAACTAATCCACTTCATTAAGAGACGAAAAGACGGAAACCTATCAATCACAGTAGGTTTGCCGGATAGGAGGTATTATATAGTTCAGGCTATTAAAGAAGGCTCTTCTCTATGCTGGCTCGGCGTTCACTTCGACCGTAAACTCATATTTAAAGGTCACGTAAGAAACCTCTCTACAAAAGCATACCAAGTAGTCAATGGACTACGGGGACTAGGGAACACTATCTGGGGCGCGCCTACGTACTTACTTCGTCGAGCGATCACCTCTTATGTATTACCCACTCAGTACTATGCATCTGAAGCATGGTGGCCCGGCAAGAGCCGGATAAAGAATGGACGTACTATCTCAAACGGGGTTAGTAGTCTGCTACACCAACTAGACGCAACGCAAACCAAAGCCATCAGAGCGATAGTCCCCGTATACAGAACTACGCCTATATCGATCCTACAGCGCGAGGCAGCTCTACCCCCAGCAAAGGTGATACTAGACGCGAAGCTCCACACAGCGTCCACCAGAATCCATCGTCTAGACGAGCGACACCCTCTCCGAACGAGACTCAGGGACAAATCAGGACCAGACTCACGGCTACGACGAATAGCAAGCCTCGTAAGCAAAAATACCGAATACATCGATCCGTTAGAACTCCCCCCTTAGGAGCAACTAGCGGACTGGCAGACAGCCCTCGCCAGGGTCGGCTACGAACCTAATAAGACCAAAGAAGAACAGGCCCTCTCCTTTGCAGGCAGGATGGCAACTTTCTCCAAGCGGGACATTATTATCTACACTGACGGGTCCCAGATATCGGACGGCAGCAGCACCTCCGCCGGAGCAGGCTGGGTAGGGTACCAAGCTACACGGCAGATTTTCCGCGGATCCGAACCACTCGGCTCCCAAACTGAGGTGTATGACGCGGAGGCACATGCTGCGTATCACGGCCTAATGGAAGCCACCCGGGCTCCTACGGCTCGTATGGCAGATAACGTCCACATCTACCTCGACAACCTCGCAGTCGCGGCTAGACTATACTCCCAGAGCACAGGAAGCAGCCAGGCTAGATTCAGGGCCTTCAATAGGCTCTCTTCCTCCTGGACTCAGAGACAAAGAGAGAGCTGGACAACCCCCGGCAGGGTTTATGTTTGGTGGTGCCCTGGGCACACGGGAGTACCAGGAAATGAAGAAGCGGACGCTCTAGCCAAGGAAGCCTGCAAACTAATCCCAAAATCACAACCACAGCCCTCATTAGCGCACCTAGAAAGGCAAGCTAAAGCAGCTGCCTTCCAAGCCTTTGCCAGAAAATGGCTGTCCCAATGCCCTCGGCAATATGCCGACCTCGAGATAATTCTTCACCCTAAGCCGCCCGAACTCCGCCTCCCTCGGCACTTACTAGGAAGGCTATACGCAGCAAGATCCCATCATAGAGACTTTACAGCATACCACGAGAGATTCGCTCATCAAGATGCGTTGCTTAACTGCAGCTGTGGGAAACCCAAGACACCAGTCCATTTCTACTTCTGCAAGCGTAGACGCAAGGCTACACCGCGCTACCTCCGCCAACGTATGGCCAAAGCAAGCATTGATTTCTTATTAGGTTCTGCTAAGGGAGCCTCTCTTCTATGCGAATGGATAGAGGAGACCAATTTCTTTTCCGAAATTTGCCCGAGTCATTGAACAGGAACGTTAGGTGAAGACGGTAGCCTGTAATATAGTTTAGATTAGTATAGACCATGTCGGCATAGCGCCCGGCACGTCCTTTTGTTACCAGACGTTAAATACATCATCATCATCAGCATAGCGCCCGGCACGTCCTTTTGTTACCAGACGTTAAATACATCATCATCATCAGCATAGCGCCCGGCACGTCCTTTTGTTACCAGACGTTAAATACATCATCATCATCATCATCATCATCATCATGTCAAGTTATCTTCGTTGATGTTTTCTCGATAGGCTTCAACACGCCCTCCTCATTACTGCATCCCAATCTCTTCTCACCAAATAGGAGACCGATTTATCTGAGAAAATGCCCCTTTCAAATAGACATATTCCCAAATTAGAATGTTCCATGAAGCATTGACAACGCATGTCTTCCAACCAATCCTCTCCAGGAGGGTACGGAAACGCCATGTAAACCAAAACACCGCACGACTTAACGAGCATATCCTGCACCGAAATCTATTCGGCGCGCATACCATACGAGAGGTCTTCTGGCGCGTACATTGCAGTCAGGGGCGTGAGGCCAAAGGCACATGCCCCGAGGAAGATGAAGATGCAGGTGATTGTGCCGTATATACCAGCCTTCCTATCTAGAATTCCGTACTTTGCGGTCATACCGGCCAGTAGGTAGGAGAAAACGGAACAGGTATTCAGAACACACAGCGCGAGGACACTACGATCAGGCTTTTCGGCAAGAGTTGACACCCGACGATTGCGATAATCAGCTGCCGAGACGACAAAATTGTTGTGATCTGGAACTGAGTTGTTGGTTTGGCGACTCCCGCTTGGCTGTTGTCAAAGTCATACCTGGTGTCATGAGTACGTATAAGTCCGGATGAGATTGATGAGACCTGGTGGCGTTACACGACGACGTTAGAACCTGTAAGCATGGTGAACGGCACAACGAAAAGCGTGAGCAAAAGTCGTTTTTGGTTCAGTTCGCAGACCAAATCCTCAAGACCGAGGAGCTTGCCAACTCGTCTTTCAAATTTCAACGTCACGATGACTTGCCTGGACTGGAGCTGAACGTTTTCGTCACTTGTGTTGTCACCATTGACTCTCGCCAGTACATCGAGCGCTTCCTCTCACCGATCTTGAATTTTTGATCAATAAGCCACCTCGGAGATTCAGGTACTAGGCAGATGATTGTAAAGACGAAGAATGGAGGCGCACCTGAGAGGAAGGTGGGGACCCGCTCATTCTGACGGCTCAAGAAAAGTACACTTGGACATGCTGCTGCCCAAGCAGTCGCAAACCCGCCGCAGAAGATAAGTATAGGCGTCCGACAACCTTATGTTGCCTCAAAAGATTCCAGGACAAGAACGCAGATATCGTGCGCAACTTATCTTTTAATGTCTATCAGTTGCCTAGTATCTAGATTGAACTTGTGTTACCACACAATGCTGTATCGATAGCCTCGTACGAACGATGCAAGGTGTGGGTGAAGAACTGCCACTTAATCTTGCAGAGAAGTCGTTCTCTTTCGATGAAAACCACGCTCTATTCAACTACCGTCGAGTGAAATATCTGCTGGAACCAATCATCGAAATCCTCGGAGGGATTTCCAGACATGGTGAAATGCTCTTCCGGAACATCAAACTGCCCAAGACTAGCCGTGGTAGAATCAAGTATAAACCAATCCGTCTTGAACCTAGCCGCAATCTCTTCAAAGTTGATAGCATCAGGCCTAGCAGCAAGCGTCCGATCCGAAAAGGACTCTATGCCTCCCACCTCGGAAAAGATGGCATCAATCAGCACCACGCCGCGGTGCGCTAGGATATCGTTCGTCGTCCGGCCCAGGAGGTGCTCTCGTGCGTCACGGATCGCGTCGAGGTAGCCTTCTTGCCGGCTGTCCCGTTCTATGCTCTGATCGCATATAACCTCAAATGAGAGGATGATGGCGGCGGTAATGCTGAAGGCGACGTGTGTCCAGAGGGAGACTTCACCTGATTCTACAATGCTTTTGTGCTCGCGTAAGATGGTGACTGCCGCCGCGACGCAGGTACGGCGCGTGTGGACGTAGGAATCAGATTGGAACGAGAGGAAAAGGAATGATCGATGAATCATGACAATCTGGCGGGTTTGATTAGCATTGCTGTCATGTGTTTGAGGGCTCGTTAGGATGCGGGCCAACCTTTTCAGCGGCGGTGACGGCCAGACTTTGACGCGCGATCCCGAGCCAGGCGCACTGGCTCTCGAGCAGCTCATCTTTCTGCAAAAGAAAACAGGGTATTGATTGGACCTTCTCTCTCATCTTTTGGTCCATCCTGAGCACATGGGCATACTGCTCTCGTGCTGACTTCTGAGCTCTCAAGGGCCCCATACCATCCGCGAGTTCCGGCATCAGCTGCGCGATGGCACCCAGGACACGAATATACGTGCTTACCGTCAGAACTTCTTCTGGGGCGTCTATGAAATCTGCATCGTTGGCGTTTCTGGGGAAAGAAGTAGAGTAATGAGACGGGTTAATGCCGTACGAGTCGGTAAAGGGGATTGCAAAGTGATCTTGAATGACCATCTGGAGCCAAACCCTACGACCGACTTCTCTTTGCAGAGTATCGTCCCATATTTCGTCTACAGCCTGCAAGTCGGGGCTGTCATTTGTGATCTTGTGTATTCCCAAGCACTCGGCCATCCGAATTGCGGCGCTGAACAAAGTAGCTTTCAGTTGACTGAGGCCAAGATTGTGAGCTACTTCTGTAGAGATGACGATGGCTTGGATAGAATAGATTGACACGTTTTGGAGAAAATGAGCCTGGTAAAGAGTTTCCACCATGAAGTTGAACAAGTCTTGCGGCGAACATCCTGGTAGGGTGAGCGGATACGCATCGCGATGCTTCCAGCTATTCTGCCAGCTCAGAAGCGACGAGGAGAGCACCGCGCTGTACAGCGCAAGCCACTGTGGCTGATTGTACACGCCGGAATCCCAGAACGTGGTGCACTGCTGCAGAAAGGTCGGGCAGTGCAAGGAGTTGTGGTGCCATGCTATGTGCTCTATGTGGAATGAGATGAGTATCTCGGCCGTGCTCCTCTCAGGGAGGAGGGCAAGGGATGGGACAGGGTGGCCGGATAGTCCGAGGGACGGCGACAGACCTGTGGTCGTGGATGTGTCGGTAAAATCTCTTCTTTGATGGCAGTTGCAGCGCAGGTGAGGATAGCAGTTTCCGTAGCTTCTACCCCATGCCATGTGCTCTAACGCCGTCACTGTGAGCGAACTGCGAGCTTGAAAATGCGAAGCTGTGACTTCATCTTGCCCGGGGTCATCTTCCCGCCCACTCCCGGACTCAACGGGATATGCTGTCTGGATATTCTCGGTGACTTGCCCCGGACCAGACTGGAGAGCTCCCAGTCTTGCTGCCACCAGATCGGCTGCCCGCCTCAGCGAAGCAGGGTCGTTGCTCTGTAGCTCATTCCGCAGAGTCTCGAGAAACCCGATCTCAGCACTATGTCGAACGGCGTTACGCCTTAGATGGACGACTTCGCGGTCGCAATGGAGCCCTAGACAACTGCATCTTGCGCATGGGATCTCTTTGTTGCACTTTCTCTTCTTTCTAGTACACTCTGTGGGTGGTGGTGGCACTGTGTCAGCTATGCAAGTTTCCTACGTCTTTCTGACTGGGGCCCTGGGGTTGACAACTTACCGCGACACGCAAGAGATTGGCGCTGCGACAAGCGGGCTGACATGATGTACGTTCCAGATCAGCTCGCCAAGTACCAGTAATTGCGCATATAGCTTATTCCCTATTGCTGCGCGAATCTAGATTGCATGTAGGTATGACAGAGAAAAGTTTAGGCACGTAGGTGTTTGGAGAAATCAGATAGTAGCGACCAAACACGACTTTGTCTATCAAGATTACATAAGCGAATTGGTCTCACCAACACAGTGTGCTGAACATGTCTTTGTGGCGGAATACCTGAGAGAATCAGTTGAAAGGCTCAAGAGGTGCTCTTTCCATGGCCGCTATCATCAACATAAAGCGATTATGTGTACATTGACTTTGGCAGACTTGATCTTATTGTGGCTGGCTACTTTGCTCTATGACTAAGGGACATTTAACCATCATCGAGCACGTCATGAGTGTTGTGACGATTGCCATGACTTCGCCACAAGTCGTGCTCTACGCTTCGTCGAGACTTAGGAACGAGAACAGTTAGCATTGGCCCTTCAACCAGCATCCAAAGGCTCAACTCACACTTCTCTTGCTTTCAAACCGATCGCAGCTCCCTGCTGGGAAGCTGGCTCAATCATGATATAATCTTTGATGATGCCTGTTCCGTTACGCATCGCATTAACCTGTTCATCGCTGCACGTGCTCGGGTCAAGAACATAACAGAAATCCTCGTATTGAGACGGAATCTCGTTCTTGATACCAAATGTGTCGGCAGGCCCTTCGGTGGCATAAGTCAGGTTTGTCGCGGTATCAACGAGGCCTGTTGCGATGTCCTTGTTGAAGAGAGCACGGTTGAAAATTCGATATGCGGATTCCGGCTGGTACGACGGCACTGCGTGTCCAGCTTGGTAGACTCGAATAAATGACAGATTACCATACTGCCGAACCTGACCGCCTTCGTACGTAGCATTGGTCTGTAAAGGCTCGTAGCCCGCCTTGGCAAACTTCTCTTGGTCTGCCCAGGGAATCGCCAGCGCAACTTGCTCTCCGCCGATCCAGTTACACGCAAAGTCGCGGTCGCCAAACATGAGAGAAACTTTGATCCCGCTGTGGAGGAGGTAGGCGATGTCTTCGATCCAGCCTGGACGGGGGTAGTCTCCGATACTGCGGAAGGCGGAGGACGATGCGCTAGAGCTGCCTGTCCAGTTCAAGGGGACTCCGAGGGCAGATTGGACGTAGGGCTGATTGAGATATCCGGCGGTGAAGGGGGGTGTGAACAGCGTTGGGTCAATCTGTGTTACGTCATAGTAATCACGGCCCGAGATATCGAGATAGGGGTCGCGAACATTGACTGTGCAGTATGTTTCTGCGTCTTGACAGACAATATTGACGGTCGCGTTGATGCCGATGTTACCTGAGTCATAGATTGCAGAGAGTTCACGACAGGCATCAATCCTGTCACGGCAGCCTCCTTCCGCGTAGTGAGCATCGATCATGCCCTGGTACACCGTCTTGTTGACGGTTTCTATGCCATACGTGTTGTTGAACGCCATCTCTGGATATGAGGGCCACTGCACTTGGCGATCAATGCACCCGTTGACGATAAGGAGAGTGTCTAGGTTCAAGATGTATCCCGCGCCTTCGGTACCATTCCAGGTGCCGTTCGCGATCTTTTCGTTCTGCTCCTGAAAGTAGGCGGCAAAGGCGGGTCCATACCGGCCTCCATAGGACTGCGTTGCAATGCTGATGCGGTCGTCATTGGGATGATACCCCGGGAACTCCTGGAACCAGACCCGGGAGAAGTGCCATAGGGCAATGGCTGCATTACGGCTGCCGAAGCTCGTCGTATTCTTCCCACCGCTAGCTAGTGTGCCGGTCTGGAAAGTGACATTCTGTGCTGGGATTGACGATGAAGCGTTCAGAGTCTGGGTACTTCCGAATAGGTCCCTGGTGACATTTCGTAGTGAGTCATAGGAGAAACCGACTTGAACTGGCTGATCGATATACAACATGTTGACTAAGTTCATATAGTTTGTTTGAGCGATGAATCAATTGAAGGTCCAACTGAGGGGATTTTACCTTTAGTGTTCCAAGACCACTCACTGGGTCTCGTCGAGTTTGAATCTGGGTTGATGTAGCAAGGCCCATTCTCATTGAAGAGCCCAGGCATCGAAGAACTGCCGGGCCCGCCGTTCATCCATATAGAAAGCGGTGCGTTCTCTGGATCCTCCTTGGCCTCGAAGAACCAAAAAAATGTGTTGATCTCATAATCTTGCTCCTGGCCAACCCCCTCCAGGGTCCCTGGCGGGAGCTTGATGTATCCAGCGTAGGATTTCACAACTTCAGCTTCCTCACAAAGACCGGGCTAGATCTTAGGTCAGCTTTCCTTTCTCGTTTATGTATTCGATCCTTTCTTGCCTTTTTGTAACTAATCTCAATGCCGTCGTCGAACTTTGATTTCAAGACAGTAACTCCCCCAGGTGCCGGTGGAAACTGGGCGAGTGAGTTCCGAGCGAACGCCGCCGCAAGTGCAATTGAAAACAGTAGAGTCCTCATTGCGAATATTTGTAAATAGGCTGAATGAAGAACGAAAAAGGTCACCAGGGAAGAGGCTCCTGTCCTTGAGTACATCGTCCAGCGACCTCCGGCACAGTTTCGATATATATCATTAGATCTTCCCCACTTGCCATCACCTTCCTACTTGGGTACGCTCTACGCCAGTTAATCAATATCTTTTTGATGCTTGTGCGAGCCGCACCGCCAAGGCAGTCGTATCAAACCTTTTTGGAAGCCGATTCGGTTGAATTGGAGAGTTGCAGGGGCTGGGATGCGGGGTTGATGGGAACACCGGCGAGGGCCAAGACTCAAATGGAGTGCCAGTGCAGTCCTAATTTGCACAGCGCGATGATTTGGCCAATGAAATCAATAATGCCATGGACTATTCCCGCTTTGAATGCACCGTTGTTGAGGGAAAGTCCCTATCAGTAGTTAAGGTTGCATCAGTAACTTGGCGTTTAACCCCCTCGGCAATTAATTATTGTCAAAGTGCATCAAGAAATGTTCCAAAAGTTTCCCGTAGCCAGCGTTGGTTGATTATCATTGTTGGAATAGGCCTACATTAGGCAGCAGGAGGTTGCTGCCGCGGTCCGTTCCAGCCACGGTGGTCCGTGTGGCTCAGCCACACGAGGGTGGTATACCCCAGACTTCCTGCCGCCGCTGGCACCTGGTTAGACTTCCACTCAAGAACAACAAGAACAAGCAATATCACCACTACAGTCGGTGATCGTTGCTACCCACGATACTCGAGTATTTTCCTTTTCCACCTGTGAATCCAACAATCATGTTTCCGTGACAGAAGCTACTCTGCTTGGAGACCAGGCATTCTGTCACCAAATTGATTAATTTTGCATGTATTGAGAGGGAAATGTATTCCGGAACGTTGTTCAAGCGAAGTGGTCTGCTGTCGTCTATTAAACTTCACTGCCACGGGAGGGTTACCTCAAGTTCCGGAAGGTTCGGAGTGAACGGGGCTAGACACTACCTGCACCTTACGGCCCAGGTGGGGCCATGTCCGAACTCGCCGGAGTGAACGGCCAACGGTGTAGTGTGCGTTCCCCTAGACTCAGAGAGGAAAAGCCGGGCAGGGCATCGGCAGGAAGTAGCAGACACCCAGCGGGTGCTCTATCAGAAAGTTGCGGTGCCCGGGCTGTCCTAGAATATGCCATGACACTTTGCTTACTTTTCCGCTTGTTTGCTGTTCGTCCGGCAAAAATCCTGACTTCCGATGGTGACATTCCCCTGGAAATGACGCCGTCAAATGTTCCCCGCCCAAGGAAAACTGATACGGCATGACGCCTTCTCGGCGCAAGATGGGCAAACAGAATAAATGACTTGCTAGCCACTGAGATTGGGAGATTGGGCCGCTTGCTCAAAGCTTCCGTGGAACAAGGAGGGCGTCTTACAAATGCAACCCCGAGTACAAGAGCAGCGATTGGTTCCTGTTGCCGTGACAGTATGAGTCGTTCAAAGAGTCCGACTGGACTCGCATGAGACTTCCGCCTAATTTCGTCATCCAACGGTCGCCACAGCAGAATGTTTGAGTCAGGGCGACGTCTGAAGTCCAAATCGAGATTAATGCTGGACGATATAAACACTTGTGACCCGCCCCTCCTTTTGTCGCAGGACGCGAAAGTGTCATAGCGGAAAAAGTCCAGGTCAAATCCAAGGAATCATCACAATGGCCGCAACTGCTTTTCAAGCCCCACTCCACGCAGGTCCTCCGGGCCAACCAGACATCGGATATGCACCCAATCACGACAGCTTCGTCGCGAGAACGAAACGACGTCAAGAGCTGGAGACGCTGGAAAAGTCTTTACCTGTAGGATTCCCACAGAAACTCGAGTCGAAGCTGGTATGGGATGGGAATACCTTGGCTGAGCACTATGACTGGAACTATGTCTTGACAGACGCTGATAAGAAGGAAGTTGACGATGCTCTCGGATACTTCAAGTGTACGTGAATCGTTTCATCAGCTTGTCATATTAGACCTCGGCGCAACTACTAATCTCAAGGACAGCGTTGCGGCAGCCACTTGGAGACATCAACCAAGAGACATTTCCCTTACCTCACCTTCACAAGACTCTGCGTGAGATCTCACATGAGATCCACAACGGCCACGGCTTTAAGGTCATCCGTGGCGTCCCAGTAACGAAGTATACTCGCGAGGAAAATATCATCATCTACGCCGGGGTCTCTTCCCACGTGGCTTCCATCCGCGGTAGACAAGACAACCAATTCCGAGGCGAGCCTGCAGATGTCGTTCTTGCACACATCAAAGATCTCACTAAGTTCGTGGACCCCCACAAAATTGGAGCACCGGCCTACACAACTGAGAAGCAGGTCTTCCACACCGACTCGGGCGATGTAATTGCCCTTTTTGCACTAGGCGAAGCCGCTGAAGGCGGCCAAAGCTACCTCTCGAGCAGCTGGCACGTTTATAACGAGCTGGCTATGACAAGGCCCGACTTGATCCGCAGCTTGGCTGAGCCTTGGAATGCCGACGAGTAAGTTCTTTCCTGCCAGGAGAGCTGATTTGCTGCTGACTCCTTTGCGAAGGTTCGGAAAGGATGGTAGATCATACAGCACCAGGCCCTTGCTGCATCATCAGCAAGCAGCAGACGATAGCCCAGAGCGCTTGATTATTCAATACGCCAGACGCAGCTTCACCGGCTACTGGGGTTTGCCGCGGTCCTCCGACATACCCCCTATCACCGAAGCACAGGCTGAGGCCCTTGACGCACTACACTTTCTGGCCGAGAAGTATGCCGCTCACTTGGACTTTCATCAAGGTGACATCCAGTATGCCAACAATCTGAGCATCTTCCATGCCCGTGGAGGCTTCGTCGATTCCGAAGAAAAGCAGTAGGTGGTGTACGAGGTCGAAATGGGTTGTTCACCAGCTGACGGGACTAGGCGGCATTTGGTCAGACTGTGGCTTCGGGATTCTGAGCACGCATGGAAGACGCCGGATGCCTTGCAGGAGAGGTGGGATCGTGTGTACTCGGGCGTCACTCCGGAGAAGTCTGTCTTTCCCCTTGAGCCTCAGATTCGCAGTGCCAGTCGACGAGAGTTCAAAACTTGCACTGACGAGAAGGCTGCATAATACGACGTGCTTCATGGTTGTTAGAGAAGTCTCTTAAACCAAGACTAACGTATTTCGTCAACGAGACTTTGAACAACTTTACCACACATTTGTGGTTTAACGTTGCAAATTTCTTACAAAGCCCGTATTTGAAAAGATTTGAGAAGAGTTTTGCTATTGGGGCAGTACTGTTTGGTGACAGAATTCGGAATTGTACCGTTGCGCCATATACAAAAGAGAGATCCCTCTACTGCATTTAGGTAGTTGTGGGTACATATAGTTTCCGTCACACCCCCTCAGGATTTGCTATGTAGTAGTACTGCATTGCTAAAGCTGGATTCGACTGTGGCCTATTCGACGGCTCCCCTTGGTGGGATCGAACCTGAGGGCTCTGTTTTAGAGTTGCAGAGGCGTAAGAAGCGGTGCGAATAGGGCCGTAGGTGCCCTGTGTTGGGGTATTTGAAGGTATCCCGTTGGTCGAGACAGTGCTGAGTCATCTGGGCTCATAACTGACGGTTAGTCAGGGTGGCCAGCGGAATATGCATATATGAGTGAGCAGAAAAGAGCGTCTATTCGTACTAAAGAGTGGATTGAATCACCACAGGCTTGTGGGCCTAATGTTATCCTAATAAGTCTTGCAGAGCTAGGACCAGGTGGAAATGACAGTCTGGCCTGTTTCGTGATGGTCAGACCATTCCGAATGGGTTATGTCCATGACTCGCGTAGAAGCATGCATGGATTCTGTCATTTGGCTATTCGGGCAGTAACCCACTCTTCCAGCCAATGAGCGCCTTCCGCCACAACCTTAAGCTTCCCCGCGCCGCTGCACCTGCCCACGGGCCAGCTAGCGCACTTGCCGCCCGCCCGCGCCATACTCGTACTTACGTAAGGGAAGTAACTGCTACGGTCGTAATTGCCATAGTCGCAATTGCTTACCTTCGATTATAATTACACAATCCGAGCTTCAGCTGCCCGTGGACCTACTTAACGATTGAATTTTATACGATTTTGGCAGTTGTGATTAAAAGTGGTAATTGCGATTGTGGGCAATTTGTGGCAACTGCTAGCCTTACGTAAGTACGAGTGCGGCGCGAGCGGGCGGCAAGTGCGCTAGCTGGCCCGTGGGCAGGTGCAGCGGCGCGGGGAAGCTTAAGGTTGTGGCGGAAGGCGCTCATTGGCTGGAAGAGTGGGTTACTGCCCGAATAGCCAAACAGTACTGCCCCAATAGCAAAACTCTTTGAGAATATAGCTTGCCTAGAGGAACCATCTCAAAACACAATAATCTGGAGGCAATAAAGGTGCACAGGATGAAGCCGTCAACCTTCAAATAGGCTAAGGGTGACAAGTTCCGCAAAGAAGAGTTGTAATCAAGTGAAGTAGCCGCGTCCGTGTCAAGTGATGGATGGAAGTAGATAGGCTTCAACGGCGGAGGAGCAACTATTTGGGTTCCATATCCACTAAACCAAATGCAAGTGACTGACTTTTTAATCATCCTGGGCAGCATTTGCGGAACGGGCGAAGCCGCGCAAGTGTCCGGCCGAAGCAAGCCTACCAAACGATCCGAAACCGTATCCTAGCCGTATTCATCATCGCAATTACCTAAAAATAGACATGACAATATCCTGTAACCACTGCAAGTGACCACCTCGCAAAGGCGGTTCTCACCAAAGAAGGCAGCTCGTCTTGTACTAGCCCGGGAAAGCTTGACGCTCGCATTTGCTCCGCCGTGGGCCTTTCCGCACGTTGCATCCCGGGAGCACCCCACAAGACGATCGGCCGGCTCGCCGGGACCTGCCACCGCTACCCGGACGGCACCCTGGCATCCGTTCCTCTGCGGGGGTACGCTTTCACTCCGCCGACTTGCCGAACTATCAGATGCGCTAGTTAGGACGACGACCGCAAGTACGTATGTTGCTGACGACCGGGGCTAGTTGCGTAAGTCCTTGACCCCTATTCCCATGCATGCAGCATAGCCGCTTCGGTGTCGTCTTCAGGTATTGCCAAGTTTGGCAAGGTGTTTTATTCGGACCATTGTCAACTTTTCCTAGCTTCAGCTGAGCAAGGGTCGATCATTCGCATCTATACCAACCTCGCAGACTCGGCAAGCTAGGCCCCCGAAAGGTTCATGTCTGTGGAAGCGAACAGGTCGGGAAAAATCCGGCATGAGTAGTTGTTGACCACATCAACTCATATTTTTTGCCATAGACTGACTCTATCAATAGCTTGATGGATGTCTACAACGTTCAAGCGCGCTGCGCTGCCGCGTCAACTACCTTAGATGATGCAGATCACAGTTTAGATAACGTAGTCAATCGCCGAGTGCTCTGGCCTAGGCAAAACTGAGTTTGGCTCAGCGGGATATTGTCACCCACAAGATGCAGTCTGTTCACTTTCGGAGACGCGTTTTGTCGCAGCGCCACACGTGGCGCTGCCGGTTACTGCCGTACGATACCGCTTTCCACAAGCCGATTACCCGTCTTGTACGGTATATAGATATGATCCTCATACGGATCTTCCACTTAGAGGAATCAAGCCACTTTCTACTATACAAGTCTTCCACTTGCTACCTCGCTTTGTAATACGTTTGCAGTTGATCTGAATTAGATGGACAGAGCCCGCCGAGATCATCCGTAACTTACAGGGTAACTTGGTCAAGCTTAACACACGCTGGAAAGACCATGCTTGACGTGCGACTGTGTTGACCTGAAGTCGCTAAGCGAAAGCCGAGACTTTGTGGCATGATAGATCACTAGAATTTCCATAATCTTTCTGAGGACGTTGAGAGATGGTTAAATGTCGCAAAAACGACGCCGTTAATTACGGGCAGCAATTAACGCCATATATACCCTACGACAGTAAATGCAACATAACGGCAGCGTAATATCTGTATAGCTGCAATCTCCTTGTGCATGCACACTTTTGCACATGGACTTTGGGCTTCTCTGGGAGTCATCGAGGAAGCACATGTTAATGTCGTGATGCAAGCTATCCACCCCAGATGAATAGGATTTATCAAGCTGTCGAGTCTTCCATCAAAATCCAGACAACAACGTGCCGCAGTCCGCAAATAGCGCTTAGTCAATGGCTCGGAACGTACCGATCCCAGTGAGTCCAGGTGAGTGGAATTCGTCCCGCGTTGCCCTGGACAACGCGATGTGATGATCATTTTACACGTGAGAAAGCTTGTTGAAGTGAATTTGAGAGCAATAAAATCCCGTCTGATTGGTTGGTCGCAGCCATTACAAGCCATTGAGTGTATAAGTCGAGTTGAGTTCACGAGATCATGCATTTGATCGGGCCGCATTGCCGTTGCGTCTAGGACGGGATGATGTATCAGCAACTGACATTCGAACCAACTGTACCTCCTTTACTCTATCAGACTAGCAGACTTGTCGTCTCCAAGTTGTTTCCAGGTCAGTGAGTCCATCCCAGCTGGTGAATGCCCCGATTGACCGCGACTTGAATGGAAGTATTTCAATAAACCAAAACCATACAACATCTTTTCAGTTAGAGTCAAATCGCCACATCTCAACCTTAGAACTAAGTATCCTCAGAAATACTATCAAACTATCATTATACTCAAGTCTGGTACCTCGATACTATCCCATCAACTGCGGAATAGCAACAATATATATACACGTACTTTCATAAGGGGTAATAGCCAATAATACATTAATCCGACCCTATTTCCCTTATTTCCTTCAATTAAAAACTCGCCAAAGAGCAGAGTTGGAGAAAACTAGAGAACTCGTATACTGTCACTATTCCGCAGTTGCTGCTATGTTATATCGAAAGCTCTTGCTGAAGTTCAAGTCATACCAGCTGAATGGCCAAGAGCTATCGAACTTAGATTGCACCACGCCACCTCTAGAAAAACAGAACTTCTTTGGAAAGGGGGAAGTAATTGGTAAGGTCTCTCAACTACGCCAATGATATTTGTTAAACTCGACTGATTATATTGATAAATACAAAACTTCGGACTATCTTTGTGTTCTGAGCCCATATTTATCTCCAAGTCTAAAGTATGCGTGCTTGAAATACTCATGATCCTACAAAGTTAGTCAATGGGAATCCATCATGTACAATCTAAACATCCTTATGCATTATGTCTCAGCTGCAAAGACTGGTCACTCTTCTCACGAAGTGATCACTGAGCCTATTAATGGCATGACGCCTTACGCTGTTGAGACTGAGGCTGCTCAAAACTAGTCCCCCACGTACATGTAGTATGCATCAAGTTCAGTCTTCCAGATCTACTTACATAGAGCAGACATCACCCATTCAAAGCTCTTGGCGTTGAACCATATGCAGGGTGCACGTGTTGATGAGGCTCAACTAATCTCTCGCCAATCGGTCTATCTGCGCACTGCACTACTTGCCAGTTCATCATTGCATAATGTTGGACGAATGAAAGCCACCAAGCCAAGTCATGACTGTGTCAAATATGCAAAACCAATTGCCTCACTGCCAAGGCAGAGATTTTGAGATGGCCGGAGTGCCCACCCTCGACATGCCTTACACCCAAGGGTTGCCTTGCGAGATGGTGCGCAGTTGGTTCGCCAGGAACCAAATCTGTGGTGTTGAGCCCTTTACGGCTAAGTCAAGAAGTCAGACTCCATCAAATATGCATGGTACTTTGTTGTGAATGGTCAACTTGCGTTGCATCTCATCCATCCTTGTCAACTTGTCTCACTATAATTGGTCGACATGACGGAATCTCACCTGCAGCTGTCAGCGACTTCGTTGGCGTACTCCATCAACATGCAAACCCGTCGCACAATTCATAAATCGTTCTATGACGATGTCCGTTGCGCCGCAAACTATTTGAATACATGTATGTTCAAGCCAGACCGCTTTCCCCTCTCCCCGCAGCCCCCGCCTCCCGAGTTCTCGTCACATCGACCGGTGCCACTGTGCCCCGACTACCATCGCCGATAGTTCGTCCGGACGGGGGACTCTATCGCCGTCGCGATGCCTGAACAGCCGACTGCCGAGCAATGGGAGAGGCATAGGCCCCTCATTACCAAGTTATATACCACCAAAACCCTCAAGCATATCAAAGATGAGCTGTATAACAGACATGGGTTCTATGCGACGTAAGAGTTATCTTCAGTCGTCTCGGGATTTTTTTACCTGTATACTAAGTAAACGCGTACAGAGAGCGCATGTACAAGGGACGGTTCAAGACCTGGGGTATCGGGAAAAACAAGAAGCGCAAGCCCTTTGAGGCAGCACTGCCCGGAGACATTGACCCAGGGTCAAACCTTGCTGCCGCACCTCCCAGCGATATCTCAAGCCCTACCTCTCCAATTCAACCACCTACTTACTTCTCGCCGGCACTAACGCCAGGAGCGTCTCCTCACGACGGTCATGGAGTCTTCGACACGCGATCGACGACATATGTCGATACGCCACGGTCAGGGACCCTCCCACCGACACCAGCCACGTATGGATACAGTTCTCCATTTGAAGTGAACCTGAAGGAAGCTGGCATGACCCCTGACATGCTCTGCAAAGAGATCGTGACATCAGCGACGTTGATACTCTCGAAACTTGTCCCAGGGCGGTCGCCGACTGTGGCATGGGACGACTGTACTCCGACGGACGACCACCTCGCGATTTACCGCACGCTTCAGAAGGAACTCAAGCATGAAAGTCACCTGAGAGGTTGCCTTGTGAACAACCCATCAGTAGCAGTCAAATCGCAAATGAACGACCATGTCAACGAGCTGTTAAAGTCATTTCACCCTGCGGTACCGATTGGGATTCTAAGCTCATTCAACCAGTCATCGGATACTGTAGCCATTCACGAATTGGCGCGCTGCTTGGTGAAATCTTCAATGATCATTTTACCACGAGATCACGAATTTTTCCAATTAGCGCAGAGAGTATTACAGCTCCTCACAGACACTCTATTCTCGGATTTTAAAGCCCACATGGAACGCATTTGCGATGATCTCCAAGCCAACGTGCTCAAAGTCCTGGGTAGATGGAGTTTAGTGATGATTTACCTGATTTTCTTGCTCAACGCCAAAAAGGCAAAAAATGAACAACAGACGGATCCCAAGATCTTGAATATGGCCTTGGAGCGATATACACACGTACAGTGCTCTTACTCAGACGATCCAAAGCTTATTGTTCAATTCGGCCACTTCATCCTAGGCTACTGCGTCCTCGTTGCATCTGAAGCAGAACTAGCGACCAGTGTGCGGGATATGGCAGAACAATGCTACGACCGCGCCGAGGCGTACCTGTTGGAGCGGGAATCTTCGCCAAACTCCAGATATGCAGACATCCAAGATGCAAAATCACATTTCGGGAAGGCATGTGCCGTCCTGGCGGACTGTCGCTATGCGCAGGGCACGCAGCAAGCGGATAAGATGCTTCGCGATGAGATCCACGACTCGTCGCGGAGACTTCTGCTCATGTCAATAGGGTGTCACGTTGATACGGACATGGCGACGATGGCGCAGTTTGAGCGACAGAAGAAGAAGCTTGAGGGTTGGTGCAGAGATGCAGAGGATTTGGAGAGGCAGAAGCAACTGGATTGTATCCGTGACCTCATCCTCGGAAACGATCAACGGCCAAAGGATGGGCCTCTTCTTCCGAGGTTGAAGGTGTTGGCTGGTAATTGATTCTTGGAGAGAAGAAGAGATGGAGAGAAGTCCATGACTTAGAGCCGCAAAACTAGTGGGAAACTGGTGTAAGGCGAAAATCTTGGTTGAGGCAAATCCGAATCACGATGAAACATCAAGAAAAATAAAAAAATTGTTATTGTGGGAACTCGATGATGCATAGGTCTGTAAGGCAGATTGTGTTTTTGATGAGGCGTCAATGGGCTGGGGTAGGGTAGTCGAAAGTTTACAAATCGGCTTGGTCCACTGTTTAGCCCGAGTAATCAGTCGCATATTTGCGGATAAGTGGACTTCGTTGTACGTCATCTCGTCTCCTTTCTGCGTTGATCTATCTATCTTGTTGTGGAAACTGACAGCGGCGAGTGAGACTCGGTGAGTCTCACCGACAGCCACCGAAGCTCAGCGACCCAAAGGGCCGGACGAAAATGTCCGAAAGTTGATCTCATGATTGCGCCTGGGCGGCTCTGTGGCGACCAGGTCTCCGATTATCGCCCACTAAACGCTGTAACCTGCACGAGACTTTGGGTCGCGTTTACCTTGGCTACTCACTCGTTTCCGCCGTTGTCCCTCGTCACTGGTCAGTTTACATCAGCCATCGGCCCTTCAAACATTTGCTTCACTCAATTCGCAGAAAAGTGGCTCTATTATCTCATTCCTCGTCGCTTTGATGTAATGTCAAATTGACATCATACACAATTCAGCAGAAATAATCAGGCAATGTCGATGCGGTAGATCGAATACTTAAGTGGATGATGACTGACGAAAGATGTGAGCTTTCCGGATCATTCCATCAACACAACTCTAGCACCAAAGCTTGGGGATATCCATCACCAAGAAACCATCACCAACTATCAGTCTACCAATCACAAACTCAATCCATACCTTGTAACCCTTTCATCCAATCAAAATGTCAGTCAACCGCAACGTCGAATCCATCAACTACAAGCAGGGCGAGTTCCACCCCAGCGTTCCTCGCTCAGAGCCCCTCACGACCAAAGGCGTACGTTCATCAATCCCAATCACGCGCATTCATCATCACTTCCCACGTCTAATCAACCAATAGCACGCCCCAGGCACCAAAGTTGGCAATGACGCATACCCCGAGTTCCACGCGCAAGCATACCCCGCCGGCACAGCACCAAAAGAGAACACCTTTCGGCCGCAGAACGCGCAAGAGAATCCCGGCCAGGCCCTGAACCCCGGAGCCACTGCGTATACGGCCGCGCACGATTTCCCGGGTGCCACGAGTGGAGACGTTCACACTGGGTTGGGTAAGCCTATGCAGGGCCAGACCAGCGCCGAGCTGCACGGGACCAATCTCGGTCGCCGTGAGAAGGAGAGCGCTGGACTTGAGGGAGTTGGAGCTTCTAGCAAGCAAAGTTCTAGGGAGCGGCGGCTGGATGTTGATCAGGAGCCCAATCCTCGTGGCAAGACGAAGCATGCTTCGGATACTCTCGGTGCGGAAGAGAGATTGCCTGTGTCGGCTGAGGAGGTTGCCAGCCAGCGTCGATAAGTTAGCGACTTGGTACTAGCACTGCAATGTTACGGGCATGTATAATATCCCCATGAATTGATACAAAAGTAATTTGGTCCGAATTGTAAACATTCACGCCCGTTTACTGCATGTTTTAATTGCATCCGCTATCCCTAATCCTCCCAAACACCCTAGTAGCCTTACTCGTAATGCATCTTCATTCCAAGATTCTGACCCAAATGCACTACGAGAGAAGAAAAAGCGCGCCAATTTCCAACATTCCAATTTACAAGGGTGACTTGCGGTGTCACAATTTAAACGGATCGGTTCTTGGTCTTGCTGGCGTTGGAAGGCGCAGTCTTCTTGAGGTTGAGGACCACCTTGTCCTCGGTGGCATCGCCAGTGTCGTTCCACTTGAGGGAGTAGATGCCGTCGATGGAGCTGGGGGTAGCATACCACAGAGACTCCACGCCACCAGAGGTGGCCTCGACGAAGATGAAGGAGCCGTAGAAGACGAAGCCGCTGGTCTGGCGGTCGGAAGAGGACGAGTTGGAGCTGAGGAAGCCGACGTCGTGGTCCGAGGAGCCCTCGGCCGGGACGGAAAAGGTGAGGTTGGACCAGCTGGGAGGGGAGGTCGAGTTAAGAGCCGTGGTGTTGGGGGCTCCGAGCCAGCCGTTGTCGTCGGTGGGGGTGACTATTAAAGGCGTTAGTTTCTTATAGCGAATGAAATCGACAGTAATAGACGTACAGATCACCGGGGCGGCGTTGGAGTCGTTGGACTTGGTGTGGTCACCGAAGTAAGCATCGCCTAGTCCCGAAAGTGTTAGTCGAGGGCTTCTTAAGGGGGTTTTTTCGCAACCCGGGCTGGACGGGTTATCAACAAAAGAGAGACAAGAAGAGAACGATTGTGAAGTTCTGAGTAGAACCTAATCATTCCCTTAATAGATAAAAGTTCCAAAACCAGCCTTATTACCTCCTGCAGAGAACATGGACAGGCCGCCGATTCCTTGGCCGTAGGCGTAGACTTGGAAAGGGCTGGTGTTATCCCTGGCAACAGCACGGGGTTCCGAAGGAGCCGCAACCGCAAGAGCGGCCAGCGACAATAGGATAGTGCCGAAGGACTGCATTTGTGCGTTTTGGGTTGGTGATGTTTTTCGAAAGGAAAGCAGTTATGATGGAGTAAACGACTGGATGAGACTGTAAGGAGACTCGAGAGGGGGAAACGATGGACTGAATGAGAGTTATCGTGGTGAAGGGAACCGGAGTGGTGGGGGGCCGGAAACTGATGCTGGAGAGGGGATGGAGTTGATTAAATAAAAGTGCGGTAAATCGATGCCGTTCGGATGATCCGCCTCAAGCCGCCCCGGCCGGCATGTCATGACTTGCAACTTTGCTTGCAAATTTTCGGGCTACGCCACCGCGGCACCACAACTCATCCAAGTCAGGTAGCAAAGGCCCGAAAATGCTTCCTGTTCGCCATGGTTGCAAGGGAAACTTTGGTTCCCCAAACAGGTTGCAATCAACAAATCACTCACAGTGGAGGCACAACCAACCCCATAACCATAGTTGAGACCATCACAACCTCCTTGAGGCGTCGGTCATTGCCGTTCGGCATCCAGTCAAGCTTTTGCCGCGAGATTGGACGGCCATTGGTCAACTAGATTCAGCGGGAGCGCCGTTGTCGTTTACTTGCGGCTAGGGCCATCCCGGGAGGGGCGCCTGTCAACGGGGGTTTTCAGAGTTGTCGTTTCGGTATATGGGATGAACAGGGGCCCGTGATAGGGTCCGGGATCTGTGGATACTGTTTCCCGGGGTGAGCTTGATATATAGCAGAGATACTATAGGTCTGGCCCATCACATCTCGTCCATCATGGTCACAAAAGGGGGATGGCGTGTCATAGGACCACGTAAGGAGAGGAGGCTGCGCAAGGGACCACGAACTCCTTCTCTCCCAACCTGCAGTGTAACGAACCCACCCGCAGCCATTTAGATAGATTGATGGTCCTCGCAGAAGGCCACCCACGAGGCTCAAGCTGTGCCGCACAGACTTTCCTCTTTCGCAAATTGTAGCCGGAAGCTTCTAAATCACGAGCAATCTGGTGGAGCTCATCCCGCTTGGCTCTCCGGAGTGCCTCCCACCCTCCCGAAAAGTCGGACAGACCGGCCACCCAAGTCTGACGGTTCTACCGACGGCTCACCGGCCCTTGATCGTCCCCCTTCACATCCACTTGACAAACCCATTACGCCTGTCGATAAGTTGAGTTGCCGTGCCTTGCGAGGCTGCGGTGGAGCATAACACCCTACCAACCCCAGCTTCCCCTGACCTATGCCTCGCATAGAGGAAATAAGACTCAGCTGCTTGCGAGTCAGCCCAACTGCGGTTCGCTTTACACGTACCACCTTACGACCCCCGTACAGCCCGCCCATGGATCTCAAAGGCGTCAGTCTCAGGTTAGCCCCTTCGGGCCTTCATCGACATGGGAATTATCGTGAAATCATCCCTATCCAGAATGTTTTTCCTTCGCTGAATCTCGAGTGGGACTAACCTTTGCATTGACGATCTTTAACCTACTGGGGCAAGTGCGAGCTGTAGTTGCAGTGGATAGCTTCGGGATGCCCATGGTATCGTCAGATTCGGTTCAAGCGGCTCCAAGGGAAACAGGACCGATAGACGACTTCTGTCATTGTGGACTGAATGAGGAAACACCTGCAGGGTAAACGCAATCGAGTTCAATGGGGAAATAGAGTTTTTAGCATCCGTTGACTATCGCGCCTCCAGTGAGCCGCCCGTGAAGCCGACATTGCGTTGCGGGCTCACAGGAATACATAAGTTATAGACATCCGTTGCTTGTTTGATGTTATTCTCACTCACTCCTCACCCAGCACAGTATTGGCTGCGCTTCCATTCGCTTCAGTCTTTCTCTCCCTCCCGCCAGTCCTTCCAACTCGTGTCACACAGTCTTTCTTTTGACCATTTCTTGGCACACACAATCACTACATTATCATGTTCAAATCTCTCTTCATGGCCGGTGCCCTTGCGGGCTCCATGGCCTCTGCCTTGCCCGGCTTCGGCGCCCTCTCTGACGGCCCCGAGGCCCAGCTCTTCCCTCGCGCTACCTGCAGCGGCAACACTGCCAGCACGAGAAGCGAGTGGTGCGACTACTCCGTCGACACCGACTACTGGACCGAGGCGCCCGACACCGGCGTCACTCGCGAGTACTACCTCGAGCTGACCGACGTCACCGTCGCTCCCGATGGAGTCTCCCGCTCCGCCATGGCCGTCAACGGCTCCATTCCGGGCCCAACCATCTTTGCCGACTGGGGTGACACCGTCGTCGTTCACGTCACCAACTCTCTGACGACCTCCAACAACGGCACCAGCATTCACTTCCACGGCATCCGCCAGAACTACACCAACCAGAACGACGGCGTCAGCTCCATCACTCAGTGCCCCACGGCCCCCAACGACACCATCACATACACCTGGAGAGCTCTGCAGTACGGTTCTACCTGGTACCACTCTCACTTCGCCCTCCAGGCGTGGCAAGGTATCTTTGGCGGCATCATCATCAACGGCCCTGCCACCGCCAACTATGATGAGGACCTCGGCATGATGTTCCTTAACGACTGGGACCACCAGACCGTTGACGAGCTCTACTCGACTGCCGAAAACTCCGGCCCACCGACCCTTGATAACGGTCTCATCAACGGCACAAACGTCTACGGCGACGACGATTCCACCACCCAGACCGGCTACCGCTACAACGTCACCTGGACCTCCGGCACCTCCTACCGTCTGAGACTTGTCAACGCCGCTGTTGACACCCACTGGAAATTCATGATTGACAACCATACCATGGAGGTCATCGCTTCCGACTTGGTCCCTATCACCCCCTACAACGCGACCGTTCTTGACATCGGCATGGGCCAGCGCTACGACATCATCGTAACCGCCGACCAGGCCGACGTCGCCGACAACTTCTGGATTCGCGCCATTCCCCAGTCCGCCTGCTCCGACAACGACAGCACAGATAACATCAAGGGCGTCATCTCCTACACCGGCACCATCACCACCCCCACCACCAGCGCCTACACCTACACCGACTCCTGCGATGACGAGACTGACAACATCTCCCCCTACGTCTCCAAGACGGTCGATAGCGCCAACTGGGATGAGCTTGAGAGCGCCTCCGTCAGCAAGAATACCGCCGGCCTCTTCAAGTGGTACCTCAACAGCACCTCCATGCTCGTCGACTGGGCCAGCCCGACTCTCGAGTCCGTCATTAGTGGCAATACTACCTGGGAGGACGATGACGCCGTCATTCAGCTCGACGAGGCCAACCAGTGGGTCTACTTCGTCATCGAGACCACTCTCGCCGTCCCCCATCCCATCCATCTCCACGGCCACGACTTCTTCGTCCTCGCCCAGGGCTCTGGTACCTACTCCAGCTCCATTACTCTCAACACTGACAACCCGCCCCGTCGCGATACCGCCATGCTTCCTTCCTCTGGATACCTTGTTATGGCGTGGGAGACTGACAACCCGGGTGCCTGGCTCATGCACTGCCACATTGGTTGGCACACGTCCGAGGGTTTCTCGATGCAGTTTGTCGAGCGCTACAGCGAGATTGCCGCCATCACTGACAACTCTACCCTCACCGACACGTGCGATACCTGGACTACCTTCCAGGAGGAGTACTCCATCGAGCAGGAGGACTCTGGTGTTTAAAAGGCTTTTGAGGAACATCTACAGTACAGCACAATCATTGGGTAGACTAGCATTGGGTTAGCGGTTTCCTTGAGTCTTGAGATAAAGGGGCGGGTTGGCGAACAGGGTTTCAATTTGTGTATTGCATAGTTCAAGTTCCATCCATACACGAGAACGGAAATTTTGATATCTTGACCACGCTCGCGTTTTTGATTGTCAGTGAAATTTGATAGTTTTAATGAATCTGTATTAATTCATTCCGTTGCCTGAATCCTCCTGATGTATTAACATATTGCCGTGTCTACCGACCGTTGTAGCATTCACATTTTGC